TTTTTGTGCAACTTAACTGGAGACGGTTAGATACTCAGCGACAAATACAAGTGGCCACCATGGTCTATAAATCTATACATGGTCTTGCGCCCGACTATCTTGGTTCTCTTTTCACTAAATATGATCCTCCATATAATCTAAGGAACTCTGAAAACAAACTAGCTGTTCCATTGCCTCGCACCAATTTCCTGAAAAATAGCTTTAGCTATAACGGTGCGGTTATATGGAATAGCTTGTCCCCTGAATTGCGGCAAGCAAAATCACTTCAATCCTTCCGAAATGGTTGTCGCAATTTCTTCCTCTGAATCGACAAAACACACACGGCATCTATGTAAAGCAGAATTTCCTTATTTTTTTCTATTTTACTTTTAAATTTTAGATCATGTTTATATAGATTAAAATAGATTGTAACTGTAATAATAGATTGTAATAATATTATTATTTTATCTGATAGATTTACCGTGTCTAAATAAAAATAAAGTTCAAAGTTCAAGTTCAAAGTACATTCGGTATTGGCGTGCGGAAAATAAAGTTTCCCTTTCTCTGGGATTATATCGAGTGGAAGCAACGCATTCATCTCGTAATCATCGAAGAACCTCACGGATTTCTGCCGATAGAGATTAGCGTATTTCTCAGATGCCACTCGGAGACGAGCCTCTTCTCTTTCTTTTACATCTTTCATTTTCTCGTACAACTTGAACATCGCCGTTGTATCCACGATGCAGTACTCCATCAATTCATCCGATAAGGGTCTTTTTTTCCAAACTCCATAGTCTTTCTTCATAAGAATTTTTCCCCCATTTTTCACCTTGATCAAATCATCATCCTGAACGTACAGCTCAAGACAACGACGAAAACCATAGATGCTCTCTACTTCGTAGGGTCTGTGGCTCCGACGTGTGTACCCTGCGCTAAAAGGTTCGTGGCGAGTAGCTGTGTCATTCTCACGGCGGTAGAGGATTTCAAGCAGCTGAAGATCCAACACTCCCGTCAATTTTATGTTAAATTGATGCCACAGGGCGTCTGAATCTTCCCGACAATCAAACATCAGCTTCCCAATCGATTTATCTTCCAGGATTTCGCCAAGGCCAAAGGAAAAAACTGCTTGCTCTAGTTTGAGAACATCGAATATGTAGACTTTATCTTCCGTTGCGACTGTTATGATGGTGAGCGCTCCCTTCCTGCTCAGGTTAACACCTTCACAATCAACAGCTATAAAGCGAGAGTTATCGCTAATTTCTCGTTTAAGCCCATGAAGAGCATCTTCCAGACCAGCTTCATCGTCGATCAGTCTGAAATCACTTGAGATCTTGCACGCCATTCTTGATTTCACTTGAATTTTTGCCCTGATTTGATGAAAGCCCGTCTTGCGAAAGGAAAGTACGACAGCTTTCTTGGAACCTCTTGAGTCATGAGTTCTGAGAAAACAATATTTATTTCCGCCGATTGTGATTCCTCCCTCCCCTCCCTTCTCCTGATGGCCATTGAATATGACAGATAGCTTCTGAGTGACAGAGGATCAGAGACAATCCTTTCATCGGCTCATTTGAATTTTTAATTTAAACAAAGCTCATACCTGACAGCAAAGACGGAAAGTATCCCTTCCAAAAAGGACGGCTGTTTATTAGAAAGCAAATCACAGGAGAAAAGAGACTCCTTAGGGCTCGCGGCACCTGACCTGGCCCGTTGTGTATTATTGATTCTACAAATTCTTGCTTTGAAAATACGTAACCGGCCCACTAGCTGTTAATAACGTTTGGCCTGTTTATGAACATTTTTAAAACGGGAGAACATTTTACCAAGAAATATCACCAATGGTCATTGTACTTACTGCAAGAGGGAATGAGTTTGAGCCCTCGGTATCTTTCCTCAGCTCAAGTTTTTCTTAAGGCGTATGATTAAACACATCGAGGACTATAGAGTCAACCTCTTGATTTCTTATCATTTGTCTCTTCACTAAACCGTAGTGAACGTGTTTTACCTAGTTACCCCACCCCCATCAAAGACGCATTTGGCAGAACGCTGCAGGGGTGGAGTGAGAAAACAAGGCCGGACAAAGCTGACCAATGAGAAACAAAATATTAATATTAATGAACACTTTCTACGAATGCACAGTTGGCAGTTTTGTTGATTAAGCTTAGGAAAAAATCAATGCTTTGCTTATGTAAAACCAAACAGAATGGCCAGCAAGTATGATTATAAACTGGTTAATAACGATCCTAGTCTCAAAGTCGCCATATCCGAACTCAGACAGAAAATAGAGCATAACGCACTCTTAGCGGTTGATTGTGAAGGTGTTGATCTCAGCAGAAAAGGTACACTTACTATAATAACAGTTGCTACCGAGGAGAAAGTCTACATATTTGATGTTTTGGAGCTGGGAAAACGCGCGACAGTCCGAAGTGGACTTCGTGAAATCCTGGACAACAAGTCATGTACGAAGCTGATGTTTGATTGTCGGCAAGATTCAGATGCACTCTGGCATCAGTTGAATGTCAGGCTAACGGGAGTGTTGGATCTTCAGTTGCTTGAAATCCTTTACCGCCGTGAAAATGACACAGCTAACAGCCATGAGCTTTCCCGCACTAAGCATAAAACTCGAAGCCAGAGAACAGATGAAGTTGAAAGCATTTATGGTTTTCGTCGCTGCCTCGAACTGTATCTAAAGGATGAAGATTTGCTTAAGATGAAGGATGAAGGAAGTAAATTGTTAAAGAGGGACACTGAAGTGTGGGAGAAAAGGCCTCTACCTGATAAGTTAATTCAGTACTGCATCGTAGATACAATGGCGATGTTCCGATTGTACGAGAATATGAAAGATGTGGAAGAAAGAGAGGGGGCTCGTCTACGCGTTGCCTCCGAGAAGTATGTTGATCTGTATCGAAGCAAAACGACAAGATCTTTCGACGATTTCGAAACCAATGCATTGCTTCCACTCGACATCATCCCGGACGAAGGAACTCTTTCTTTTCCGCCTGCTGACACTAAATGTACTCGTTGCAAGAGACTATTTCCACGAGAAGAGTTCACCAAAACACAACTAAAGAATAATGAGCAGAAGTGCAGGGTATGTAAGGAAATAAAACGCCGAGCAGATGTACGACGAAAGAGAGAAGCGAATAGCCAGGATGACTTTCTTTATCGTGTGTAGTTATGTTATTGTTATTTTTGGTTCTTCTACTTCTAGCGAAAAGGTAAATTAAGCGTATAATTAATTTTTATAATTATCAGGAAGAACTGACTTAAATATCTTTAAATCATAAATAAGAAAATTGTAGAGAAGAATCGAATACTAGAACTTGTCTTCACAATGAATTTAAGCATTCCCGTCGGTAGCATTTTTTAAAACCGCTGTTCACACGAAGTCAGTCAAGCGCTCGCTTACAGACTCGAGCTTGGCATGTTTCGATGTTTTTTATTGAAGTAAGACAAATCGATTACGCTCTTAGTTAGTAAAGGGTCGCTAGTTTTATGGTTTCTATATTATATCCCATTTTTTTGGATTGCACGTTTCCGAATGAACACGAATAATTTCTATAATTAGTGTGAGCTTTTCAGTTATATGAATAATCTCCATAAATAGTAGTGACTGCCGATGACTGCCTCTAAGGGAAGGTGACTTGCGCGGTGGTTCAAATTTATTGCCTCGCCTAAAAATGCAAATATCCAGAAAGTACTGTATAAAGCTTGAAACATATGATTACATTTGTAGGTCTCATAGATATGGCGATAATTTTTCTAAGATATCTCAAATGTCATCAATCATGATAACTAAAACAATAAAATGGCGTTTGATTTTGGGGTAAAAAAATAAATGACCTGGACGTGATAAAGCCTGGTAGCATTTGTTTCGCTTGTTGTGGTTTGCGGTCATATGAAATGTTTAGTTATTAGTAATTATGTCGTCTGCACATAGAAATGAATGTTAGTAAGTATTCTGCCTTGTTCATCCGCCTTATGTATGCACATCGCGTTTTTACTTAGTGCAAGAACCCAATTAGATGGATATGTCTCGTCAAGGTCAATGCATTCCCTTGAGGTTCAACAGGCGTTTTAGTTTGAAAATAGGGGAGTTAGACCACGCTGGACTCCTTTCACTTTAACATTCATAATTACAACTCAAAATGCACAGTAGAGACAGATTGACATCTTCAAAATCAACGGCTAGAATTCTGTGTTTCATATTCTGTTTGAGTTTAGACATGGCAAAATTTCACTTTCAACTCCATGTTATTCTGGTAATTTAGTTTAGACATGGCGTTTCGAGCGTTAGCCCTTCGTCAATCGCTTGACGAAGGGCTTTCAAAATTACTCGCAGCACCACAGTTTCTTTAGAAACTTACCCCTTTATCCATGTTATTCTGCTCCACACCCAGCATCAATCAAGGCACCACGATATTCTGCAGTAGATCCAAACTACAACACTTTGCTTCTTATCATATGACCCAAGTGTAAGGCCATTCTTTAACGACAATCTCTGCACCTTTTTGTTAATATTGAGAGCATCCTTCTTCCTGCAAGCTCCCAACCCCCTCCTCCCCAATGTAAACAAAAGAAAAATGGCCGCCGGAAGTGAAAGTGGAAACTGATGAATTCTTGGAACTCGTTCACTCGACGAAGTGGTTTCAAGAAAGCTCGGATTCGCTCTAAACCTAAAAATAAGGTCTCAAAGAAGGTAGGCAGCAACATTTTTGCTTGAGTGGAAATCGTGAACGACAAGCAAGATGAAAAATTACTACAAAGTTGTCGATGAACAGAGAAGTTTGAAGGATACTATTTATAACCTCAAACGGAAATTAGAACATAATAGCTCACGGTTTATAGCTGTTGATTGTGAAGGAGTTTCTTTGAGTAGACATGGAGCACTTACAATTATAGCAGTCGCAACTGAGGAAGAAGTCTACATATTTGATGTCTATAAGTTGGGAAAGTTTACATTCAGTGGTGGACTGAGTCAAATCCTTGAAGACAAGTCGTGCACGAAGCTGATGTTTGATTGCCGAGAGGATTCAGATGCTCTCTGGCATCAGTTTAACGTAAGACTGACAGGTATTTTGGATCTGCAGCTCCTTGAAATCCTCTACCGTCGTGAAAACGACTCAGCGACTGGTCAGACCTTCTTCGGTGCGGGCCACTCTCATCGTAATCAAAGACCAAATGATCAAGTGGAGAGCATTTTCGGTTTTCGTCGCTGCCTTGAGCTGTACGTCGGTGATGAAAATTTAATCAAAATGAAGGATGAGGGAAGGTTTTTGTTGAAGAATGATGAAGAAATATGGAAGAAGAGACCTTTGTCAAATGAGTTAATACAATATTGTATTGTTGATACATTGGCCATGTTCAGTTTGTACGACAAGTTGAAGGGTATCTTACAAGGTGCTGATCAGATTCGCCTACGAATAGCATCCGAGAGATACGCTGATTTCGTTCGATGTAAAACCAAAAGGTATTTTGACGAATACGAGAAGAATGCACTTCTTCCTCTTAACATCATACCTGATAAAGGAAATGTTTATTTTCCTCGAGCTGATACAGCATGCACCTGCTGTCATAGGTTGTTTCCAAGAGATGAGTTCTGGTCGTCGGAACTCAGACGACGGGGGCAAAGATGCAGGGTGTGTAAGGAGGTTGCCCGTCGCGCAGGTCTACGAATTCTCAGACACAACAGTTGGGTTCAGAACTGGAGATACAGGGGCATAGAACAGGTCGTCACCAAATCCTTGAAATTGGATCCTTCAAAAAGGAAGACTCCCTGTCATTTTGATGCCAAGGAAAGGACAACTTCCACAGAGTTGGATCCCAAGAAAGAAGAAAATCCCTGGAAATCTTGGGGGTGGATTTTGTTCATACTAGTTACCATTGTGGCAGCATTGTTACTGGTGGCAATATTTTAAGTCCAGATGTTTTGTGCTCAACAAAGGACTTACATGCAGGGGTACTCTCTCAATGTTGATACTGTGAACCTTAATAATCTGATGAATCTCTCCTAACTTTATTTGTCTCTGTTCTCAAGCTGATTCATGTTCTCTTTTCCGCTGAACAAAAGTATAAAAGAATGTTAACCCTTTAACTCCCAAGATCTGGTTGTTAATTCTCCTTTCTAGCAGCTACACATTTCCTCGCAAATTAGTTATGTGAATATGGTATTAGATCAAGACAACAGCTTCTAACTGATAAGTTTTGAGTATCCTCATGACCTGTTTGCTGGATGATGTTTAGATATTACAGGCAGAAGTTACATGTTAATCACTTTTGAGAGTTAAAGGGTTAAGTTCTCCTTGAATTTACAAACTTGTGTTTTGCTCAGGTTTACCATTTACCTTAATCCCCTTCTTCCCTTTATTTTTGTACAGAAAATAGTTTGAACCAGGAACAAGCAGACAGTTGTATATTACCTGGTAAATAAAGAGACTGTGGCAGTTCTTGATGCCTTTGAAGCAAGATTTCTTATTTTCTAATTCATTTGCATAAAATTCTCTGATCAAATCTTTTCCCTCTAATGCAAATGTACCTTGCTGTAATGGTTGGCTATTAGTCACTGTATTGTTTTAACCAGGCAGTTCTGACTGAAAGATAGAAGAATTCCTTGGGCTGCCACCAGAGTTGACCTTAATGATATTCTTTAAACATCCTAAGATCTTTAATGTTTGTTTTGGGATATATGCACAGTTACTCAATATGAAATATTATTGAATTAACTTAGCTTAAATGTTGTGAGACAGGGATTCAGATGAGCGTGTTATGTACAAGGGTAAGACTACAGAACAAAGCAAACCAGTCAAGCTAAAAAATTGACCTTCCTATGCATTCCCTCCCACAACTTCAAGGGAAACTTGAAACAGATAGTTATGTGTCATAATCATCATCTTCATCTTCATGTTTTCGCTTAAGTGGAGTTATCAATGGTTGCTGGGTGCTGGCAACTGTTTCATCCATGCTTGGAAGCGCTGACACTGTGAGCATTGAAGCTGGGTTGCCTGTACTTTGAGAGGCTTTAGCTGCAGCTGGCACACCTGCAATAGGCTGACTTTTAGTGACAGTCACTCCTGGTTCAATTTTCACCTGAAGAGAAACACAAATAATTTTGTTGGATTTTCCTGACATCATCAAATATATCTTACAACTTGTCTGGTTGGCTTGTGAGTTTATGAATAAAGGGGGTAGGTTTCTAAAGAAACTGTGGTGCTGCCTTGGTGGGAGAGTGTATCAGGGTAATTTAGTATCATCAACTGAGTTGATGACGTAAATTGGCCACAATAAAGAGTTTCAAAGCTGGCATTTCAAGCATTAGCCCTTTGTCAGAGCAAATGGAGGAAAACACACAACCCACAATTCCTCCATTCACTCTAGCAAAGGGCTAACACTCAAAATGTCAAGCTTTGAAACTCTTAAGGGTGACCAATTTATGATATCAACTATGTTGATAATACCAAATTACCTTGTTAGTTTATGCCCTGCATAAGCTGAAGGATGTGAGACAAAGAAACAGAAACAGTTTACTGATGGTTAGAAGTATTTGCTGAAAAAGCCAATTATGGAAGTATTTTAGCATAAGAAAGGGTATACTATAAGCACATCAGATTAGATTCAAATTCGACCAAAATTTTTATTTTTTTAATCATGGACAGTCATTTTTACCAAATTTTCCTAATAATGTGGCAACTGTTCAATAATAAATACTACATTTCATTGTACAGTTGGCACACATGGCCCATTTGAGAGTTTTGATGCACATTGTAGGTTCATTTGAATTTTTCGACATAACAGTTTGTAATGGCACTGCAAACAATGTGAGACTGAAGAACTATGGTAACAATTCAGTCATTGTGAAATAAGTTTTCCATCTAAATGAGTATGTGTTACAGGGAAAACCATCAGTGTAATTTGTCCAAGCAACAAGTTTCCTGGTAGGTGGGTAGCTACAATAAAAATAATGTCTGGTTATAGAACATCACACCTGTATTGCTGGGGTTCCTGTAGCCACTGTTGCCTGTTTCTGTACCACAGTGGTCCCTGTTGGTTCCTTTTTTACCGCTACACCAGCTGTGACAGCTGTTGCAGTATTTGCTGCAGGTCCTGCAGATGCTGTGACTGGAGCAGCAGTTGGCATTTTGACTGTTACAATAGTTGCTGGTGTTGGTTTTATGAGTGTTGATACAGCTGACTGAGAGATTGTTCGAGCTACGACTGGATTGGCACGAACCTGAGCATGCTGCTAAAAGATAAAACAAGTAATTTTAGAGGCATTGGTCAGAGCACAAGGACACAATGTATTAACACTGGTTAGCCTGATAGACTCGGGATTGAAAGGTCCATGTTAGACACTACACCAGATCATTGCATTGTGTCTTGGGCAGAACTGGGTACCTGAAAACTGCCAAAGAAATTTGATGAAATGCTATTGGGTAATCTGTCATCGGAACTAGCATCCTATCCAGGTAGGAATGGCAATACTTTTAGTCGTTTCAGGCTCTGCAAACCCACATAATCTTCCACAATACAAGCCACAAATTTCAGAAGCAGACTTGACTTAGTGCAGGCACATAAGGAACCCTCTTTCATTAAGCCTTTAACTCCTGCGAGTGACCAAAACAGAATTTCTCCTTACAGTATTTATACAATTTATCAACTAGATAAGTGATGAGAATAAAGAATGAGATCAATGTGGGGATAATTAGTTGATCCAATTCTAAATTCTCTGAACTAACATTATAAGAATTGTACGGTTGACAGTAAAGGGAATTACAAATTTGATCTGGAAGTAAAAGGGTTAAAACTTTCTTCATCACCTTTTTCTGTGTCTTGACTTTGTAGTTTGTTGAGGTGAGACAATAGCGGTCAGGTGGTAGCCGTAAACCACTCTTTGTCTGAATCTGAGGTAAAGGGTGTCGATTCTTCTGCCGTGCAATCTCAATCAGAAACTGATAAAAGAAATTAATGTAACTAATGTAACTTTCCTTAGATAGAGGGGTAAAAAGTTATGATAAGTGCTAAGGACCCTAACATTTATGCTAAGAGATAAGCTGGGTGAAGTCCTAAGCAGTTTCATGGTGACTCCCTTCTGATGTATCAGTCTATTTAGTGCATCCTGAATGACAACTACTGACACAATTTAAGACCGCCAAAATATGGATGAGGATGGGAATTCCCTTCCTGATGGACTTGAAGATGTTTTAAAAGTATCTGGAATTTGAAGGTTAACATTTCTGAGTGCAGTTCTGCAGAGGTACACAACTTTAGGACTTGCTTAATAGGAGATTGGAAAAAGGGAAAAATGTCATGAAAAAAAAGGTGGGGGCACATAGTACACAAAAAGTGTTGTTTCTTTGTTTAATGTTTGACAAAAACTTTTTTAAGGTGTAATATTTTTGCTAGGAACACAAAATTTTAATTCATAACTTCACATGTACATCCTCCCCACCCCTAATAGAGAGTATCCATGGAATGTTATATTTTGGCAAAGATATAGTGAAATAAGCAGCTATGGTGTAGGTCTCTTACATCTTGTACTCAAAAAAAGGAAACAGGGACAAAATGAGCTGTGTATCTCAAAACATACCTCTCTAGGTGGAGGATTAGTATAAGAATGGTCCAGTCTGGACTGGATGGCTAACTGCACATCTTCCGCATCAAGATCTTTCTTGCCAGCATGTTTACTGTAAACCATAGCATCCTCTAACACTGTTGTAATGTAACCTGTAGGCAGATTCAAAATATTTTGTCTCTAACTTGTGTCCACTTTATATTAAAGTTCCACTTAAATTTATGAAAATAATTTATGACCCTACAAAAGTGACACTGAAAACTACCGAGAATGAGCAAACTGCAGCTCATTCTCACAATCGAGTCACATTATCCTAAAAAAAAAGATCATAATGGTTGACCAAAGTATAAAAAAGAGAGTATAATCTTGATCTGAAACCAAATCCTTTTAGTTGATCAGTGTACAACGAAAGGTGTAAAAGTTGACAGGATAATTATTAATCAGATCCTGAGTTTAAGGTAAAAAATTAGCAATGACACTTTTGCCACCACTATTTCAATTCAACATTGCTTAAATTGAACAAAAAATATATCAATAGAAACAGATGCCCTTGTCCCTGAAGTGGATCACATCTGAAAATGTTAGTGACAGTTTAAACTCACGGTATGTGTATTCTAGCATTTGGTTGATAACTCTTGGCTCGTATTCGCTGATTCCCATCTCTTTTAGAATGGCAGCCATGACCAAGGCATCTTTTGGTGTGCTTTTTGCAGGTAAAGAACCTTCTGCCTGTTCATTGGTATCTGTTTTGTCCGCCATGATGTTTTCATTAATACTACTACATGATAGTTACACCACAATTAAAACCATTTATGAGGGATACCGCTGTTCAACTCCAATCGAGACAAAAATGGCGGCTGCATTTCCTTCTGAAAGAAGCACGAAAGATGTAATAAATTCGATATTAGATGATTATGAAAAATTAACCAAGTACGTTGCTTGTTATACCATTTTCTTAAATCAGTTATTCTGCGTCATTTCTAATGCGATGAGTTCTGTTCTTTAAAAGATCAGGGTTGTTTATAATCGCGACAGATGTTGATTAATGCTTAGTTTCATCCGCTTTCGTATGTAGAGAATTATTCGAAAGTTTGTCTGCAACTTCATTGTATCGAACAACAAAGCAAGATGCTAATTCAGGAGAAACAGCAAAGGTAAGCTATTTTATTAAGGTTAAACTTTGTCAGACGCAATCACGAAGGACAAGGGAAGGTCATCAGTGAATTTAAATTTTTGTTACTTTGCCTTTTCGGCGCAGGCCGTCGATCAACTTATTTCCAAGGAGAAAGAACTGCAAGCAGCTATCGAGAAAGTTCAGGAGCAGCAAGCACGACAACAGGAAATCCAAACTGTGAGGGAAGAAATATCAAAGAAAGACCGGGAAATACTTAACCTTGAATCCCAGCTAAAGGAAGCTGAAAAAATATTGGTAGGTAAAGACACAGGTGTAAAGAAATAGTGTTGTATAATAGAACATGATACTGAGAATGACAATGATCTGTCTTGTGTTTCAACTAAGTCCTTGAGAGCTTGCCTGTAGTTTTTTTGCATCCATGTTTACCTGCAGTCAGCATTTGTTATAATTTTGTCAAAAAGGGTAGTAGCCCATCTCCCCCTGGTCACTACTCTTTACTCACCACTGACCCAAATGGCACACTCTTTGAAAATATAAAAAAATAGGGACACTTACATCATTTGGTTATATTTAGTCCCAGGCATTATTTCAAGCAAAGAAAAAGTTGTCTGCCATTAATCAGGCCAGTAAAGGTAAATGGAAAAGATTATTTCAACTGTAGAGATCTTTCTAACTTGTAACTATTTATTTATTATTCTGTGTTAGGCAAAGCTCAAGGGATTGGGTACGTGAGAGAGAGAATAGAAATGAGTATGGAAATTGACAGGAAAATCTGAACAAAAGTGAATTGCCCTCCTTGGCTCATGAGATAGCAAACTAGTGTCAGAGTTAGAGCCCTCTTTGTCATATGTCCATGTCATTGCTAAAGCTTTCAACTGTTTCTTCAAATTTGAATTTGTAGTAACAGATAGAAAAATTATCAATTTCTATACCATGAAAAGTTTTTTAACCCTTTAACTTTCAGAAGTGATTAACATGAAACTTCTCCCCATCATATTCATACATAATCTGGCAAACAAGTAATGAGAGTACTCAAACGTATCAGGTAGAAGTCTTTATCCTGATCAAACACTTAATTCTCATAACTTATTTACAAGGAAATGTGTAGCAGCTAGAGGTGAGAATTAACAATCAGATCTTGGGAGTTAAAGGGTTAAAAATATAATTGCCCCTTTTATCTTCTCCTCTCCCTCTCAAAAATAGACAAATGTTAATACACGAAAATTTCTGAAAAAGAAGCCTCTTTTTTTGCATGACTGATATGATCTTTCATTTTGATAAGGAATGGTTTCATCTGAAGACCTTATCAAGTATGCTCATCGAATCAGCAGCAGCAACGCTGTGGAGGCCCCAGTATCATGGATGCCAGGTTTGTTTAGTCATGCTTCTCAATAGATTATTTCCTTTTGTTCTATTTCTTGTAAGACTATTGGGAAGAATTTAGTTCTTTCATTGTTTGCATTAAATCTGTCATCTGAATGCTAAAGCTCTAAAGTTTTTTCCTGTTAACTTATCAATGTCCTTTTCTTTCTTGTACTTGGTGTTTGGGAAACTTAGTTGGTAACCTGAAGGTCATACAATGCTTATCTTACAGATGTGATATTTGGTTATCTAGTCCTTCCATGATTTGGTATGAAATTAACAACTGCATGATAAATTTATTGATGTAACATCCAGAGCTTATCCAAGAATGAAAAACAGTGACCTTTCCAAGGCTCAGCCCCAAGACTTGTTATTTCAAGTTCAGCTCAAAAGAGCACCTTGGATGGCTAAATATATTTACACATCCTGATGTATCACACAGGTGACCCACGGAGACCATATCCTCAAGATATTGAGATGCGATCTGGCTGGCTAGGGAGACTCATGGAAGGTGTGCCTGGTGAAACTGAAGGACCTGGGGCTGATCGTTCAGCTCCTCAGGAAGTGGTCCAGTCGTCTGCCTCTGCATCACAGATGCTGCAGCCTACTGGTGGACTGGGTAAGATTGAATAAAAATTGCACTCAAGGGAATTCATTTTCTATTTTTGTAATTCTATCAGTACATTTGTTGGTTTCATTAAATAGTTATAAATAACTGAGATTGACTTTTCCATTCTTTCTATAAGGCCTCACAAATGGTCAAGCAGCAGCATTTTCCTGGCAAAGCCAGCTTCCAGGAGTGCAGTCTGGACCTTTACAGGTGAAAAATGATTGTCTTGATATAATTTTTAGTTATCCAAGTTTAAATGTGGGAATTACAACCATAATAATGTTGTGGATATTTGATCTTAATAAAGCTTGTAAATATTATTTTTCTCTTGAGTGAGTAGACTTAGGAAGCATAACAGTCTCCCCTTTGGTGCTGTAAATACATAAACAAACTGAGTAAAAATGAACACTTATCACTACCAATCCAGACTGCTGGGAGGCCAACAAGTTGGTCATTTACAAAGTGTGGCAGAGATGTTGAAGCCAAGACATCCTAGAAATGAGTCCAACTGAGTGGTAGAGTGAAGAATGTGAACCTTAGATCAGCAGTTCTTAAACATAGGATCCTAAATCACTTTTTTCGTGCTTCCTGTATCTGAAAATTGCAGTGACAATACTCAGTCATCTCATTCTACTAAACCTTTGATAAGCCAAGGGCTTGTTGGGAGTGAGGGGAAGGGGGGAGCAGTTTGACCAAAATAAATGTTTTTACTCATTAACTTATTTTTATTTGCCTGAAACATTTTTTTTTCACAGCAAGATGCATCTTCCAGTTTGGATATCCTAACAAACAATCTGACAAAGGAAGTGACCAATGGCAGACAAGAACAAGGTGTGGATGAAGTAGAGTTCATGTCATCATCATCGTCATCATCTTCCAGCGACAGCCCATAACAGCTGACTCTGTAAATTATAGCTTAAAATAAATGTATTAAGGACATTTTCAAAGTTGTGGCTATTTAATGAAGAGCTGATAATGATTTATTGCCTTGCTGAGCTGCTTAGATCTAAACTTAAATTTTTCTTTATCTTTACAGTATGACTGTGTCTTGTTTGATTTATTTTATCATGTTCAGGACTCTGATAAAAACAAGAGTCAGTTATTGCTCTGTTAGTTCGGTGGAATTGGAACTGAAGTATTGATGTTTTTTTGAATAATTGTATATAGCTCATTTAGCTCTGAACTTCGACTTCATGTGCAATGCGTTTTCAGTTACCAACTGAGTTAGAACGTACGCAAATTAAAAAATTTAATTGAGTACGTTTGAATGCCATGAAGTGGTCACATGGCTAAGGAAGGTAAAATTACTGGTTTTTAAAGATCCGCCGTAAGACTTGCCGTGATTTGTTTTTATTTTAAGGCCGCGTTAATCTTTAACAGTACGTGTAGATGTCGATGGTAATAATTTTCATTTTCAGCTTTTAAAATCAGAAAACTAATAAAATCATGAACCTATTGTATTGCCAAACTCATTAAAAAGTTCGTTGTGGCTCAGTTGATGTAGCAGCCGACTGTGAAATCGGACTTGTACAGGGACTCTGACTCATTATTTCATCCTCACAGGAAATGTAGATGTTTAGGAATTTCTTTAAGACAAAATCCACGTGTATAAAAAAAAAAGCAGTACAAAGCGACTTACATTTAAAGTTTTGTTAGTTTTCAAACAATGGCTCTAAGTCAACAAAGCTTTTAAATTTTCCACGTGTTTACGGTTGGCACGGAAATTGTAATTAATTTTTCATGAATCGTTGAAAACCGGCAATCTTTTATGCATAGAATTTCATATAAGTGCAGAGAAACCTTTCTACATTATCCGTCTGCAGAACTCGGAAATAATTACGATATAGTTAAAAGGACTTAAAAGGTGTAGAAACAAATCCCCTTTATTCTATATTTATGGTGTGACTTTGCATAAATGCTTGTTACCAAGTTAAGAATTGACATACGAGTGAAGTTTTCACAGACACGTAACCAACACAAGTAGTACTCTTCTTAAACTCACGAAAAGCAAATGTGTACATACCTGCGTTTGTATGAGTAACTGCCATGGGTCACGAAGTGTTTCTACTTCTTTCTGATTGGCTGAACAGACCGATATTTTGGCAAGGACTGGATAGTACTTTGTTATGTGATGCCTTGGAGGTAACAAATAAAAAAGTTATTACATTGAGTCTCTTGGTATTCAGACAAAACCTGCTTAAATTTAGGTAATTCAATTAGAAAGTGACACGGTTTTGTTACTTTTTGTTAATTGTTTCTTTTTTTTTGACTATGAATATATAAAAATCATATATGCCCAACCAACGCAGCACCACAGTTTCTTTAAAAAACCTTACTCTCTTTATTCATTATGTTTTGTTACTTGTCTACGTTATGACTTTATCAACCGTTTTTCTAGTTTTCTGGAAAACTTCCGCTGTCGTTGTGTACATGCCAAGTTAAATTGTCAACAATTTTTAAGTATTCTGTGAACGACAAACAGTTAAAAATACCCGCTGGCATGAACTAAACGTATGCTCGCCCGCACAAACTTCTCACAGGTTTATGAAGAATACCTATAAGATTTTCAGAACACTGTACCACGAGGGGCCAAATTGTCGATGAGAATTCTCCAAAACATCTTGCAAGAAATGTAGCGATTTTTTAGGCAACATTTACATCTTATACTGACACACCCCTGAAAAAACCGTTGTTATGTCTATCAAAATCTTTGTGCTCTCCTAATCAAAGGCTGAGATCCCACTGAGCGGAGGCTTGGAGAATATTACTTGTGTCAGTTTTTCAAATTACTCGAGTGATGCAGACACGAAACTCACCCTGCCCTACAAACACACGTGCTACGATACAGAATGAGGTGGGATAGCATTTCAAGTGTTTATTAGCTTGAGAATTTTCATTTAAAACTAAGAATCGGTTCTTGTATTTTGAAGTTGTTTGGTAAACTTGAATGATTATGTCAAGGAAAATGACTCCCTGAGGTGACTGATTTATTACTTGTCAAATCTGTAGATTTTTTTACTATTATTAGATCTATATGTGGCAAGCACTGCAGCCTGTTACTATCACAGTTTTTCAAGTAAAATCACTCTCTTTTATTCAAATTTGTTCTCTGTGGGGAAGAAGGTGACCCAGACACTAAACATTTTAACCCTTTCAAAGGACCACAGTCGACTCGTCTTTAGCACGTGCGAGGCGACAGGTTATTGAAATTAACTTACCTTACAATGGAAACCCTTTCATCTGACGGCCGATTGAATTCCTTGGTGGTCAGATTGAATTAATTATCCTATGGTATGTTAACAAGTTGCTCCACCCTCCCGCGTTAGAGAAGATCAGAACCATTGCATTTTTTAAAGTAATTTAAAATTTGTTATCTTGTCAGTGCGAGCTCGATAAGAGTTTTTTTTTCCTTTGTTAAAAGGTCCGCTATATTTCTTTCTAACTGAAATAATGTTTATAAATGAGAATTCAAAATCACATTTGAATAACGATCCGTAAACAACAGGAACCACGCTGATACAACGTTTTCTAATTTTTTCTTCCATAAATTTTTTACTTTACTTTTTCCCGTAATGGAAGTATCGACACGCTAATACGACCTACGCACTATTTTTAATCTTCTTTGTGAGTTCGTTCTAAGAATAAACCCTTTTCAGCGACTGATGAATTTTAAAGTAATTCAAATCAGACTCTTTTTTTAGACTAAAATTCTATTGTATGGAAAGTAAATGGCTGATTATAACAGAACAGTTACGTCTGACTTAAAAGCCATTCAATCTTTTGTTTTAAGTGATCACTTGGAGTAGCCACAACACGTCATTTAAATCTCTTCGTTTTATTGCAAGATGAATCTTTAGGTTTTTTGACTTTTTTGTCCAATTAAACTTGATCTTATTAGGTGCTGGATATTATTTTATTTTTTCTATTTTTGTGCGCGTGTTATTGGTCAGAAGAGAATTGAACGCGCGTGGGATGGGCCACTTGACTGGCAGGCACTGCCCCCGGAATGGTCTCTCACCCACGCAATCGACAGGTTATGACTGCGCGCGCTCGTTAGAAATTCGCCAATATATGGCGCACAACGTCAAAATCGGGACAGAAAAAAAATCGTATTTTGGCAAATGATTTCCGCGCAGTCAAGGAACAATTTCTCTTTCACTTTAAATAGAACCAAGGTCTTTGAAAAATGTGTCAAATCGTTCTTGAAACGATTTAAAGTTTCGAATTGACCATGGCATCCCAGAGACTAGATATTTTCAGTTTTAACGTGATTGTCTTCGAAAAGGAGCCACCGCGTGTTGCCGGCTCTGTCAGCAGTTTGATCACATCTCTACCATAAAAACAGCCGATTCTCTAAAGCAGGCGATTGCAAGTGGATTATTCTTTGCAAGGCTTCGATTAATCTAACAGCTTGGTAAGTATAAAAGGTAACGACTGCAATTATATTTTTTAAGTACAAACCTTAGAGTGTGCGATCGAGAAAGATTTTGTTATTTATGTCTGTAGCCACTTCCTGTTTCCTTCAACACTTCGTGCCAATTTTTTTTGGTCTCTCCTTAAGGATTCGACATTTTTCAATTGCGATAAAACTTTCAACCTCGCACAGAAATCCCAGAGTATATTTCTCGTCACGTCTTACCTTCAGTAAAATCTTACTTGAGTTTATGCTAGCCATGCTGACGTGTTACAAAAACGACCCTTACTCTTCTTAATACGATGAACTTTGATCGGTTTTTTTTTAATAAATTGCACAGGAGAATGCTTTAATATTCGATATTTCTAGAAACACCCCACTGTTTCAAAATTTAACTCAATGATTCGGATTTTTAAGCTTTGCGTGCGGCCAATGCACTCTTTCATGGCTTTTCGTTGGAAATGTTAACTCCACAATTTTCTTGAGCAAGTAAATATAAAAAGAAAATATGACGCTGTATGAAACCAGTTAAAAAAATACTACATGGACAAAAATATTTCAATTTAAAATTTTCTTTCTTGCATTCGTTTAAAAGAGGCTATTCTTCTCATATTTCCTCTACCAAAATAGCTTTATTGATTCTCTCGATGCTTTGTAAATTCTAACACCTACACAGACAGACAAGAATGGTAATTGAATTGGTTTGCTTCTTCACTGAGTCTCATAATTAATAATCCTAGTAGAATTTTTGCATACGAATCACACATCAAACCATCAAACCCGGAATTTTCAAGCCAAGAAACTACTCAGCATTCTTTTTTATGCTAGTAGTTTTCACCGCTTTTCTCTGACCGGTTATATAGAGACACATTCTGCACATACTGCCTGTGATCAAGTTAAATCTGTGCTTTTGTCAGTTTAGTATTTGAGCAAATAACTCAGACGAAAAAAGCCTTCAAGAAAAACATAGCTTATGTATACGTGTTACATCAATAATTCCTCAAATATCCATTGTCTCAACAGAATGAATTTAGCGATCGCTTTGATAAATGAATTGCACTTGTCGTTATGTTAATTTACGAGAAACTCTATGAGTAGTTTTATTTTCCAATTATTGAATTCTGCTGCGTCGGCGGAAAATGTGCAACACGTCTTCATTTGCGTGGATTAAGTTAAAATAACCATTTTTACACAAACACTTGATGACCTTGAATAACAGAAAAGGTTGTACTCTTTCTTCTTCTTCAAACAGTCTACACACTAAACCGGAATCCATGCTGACAAAAGGAAAATAAAATCTCTTCATCTTGTATCGGGCAAACGTAGACAGAGTCCAATTTAACGTTCGCGTGTATAAGTGAAGTCGAAGAATATTTATTTCATTTTCAATCTATACAGCGGGTAATGATAAAATCTTGTTTCTTATTCATAGCGTCTCCCTGCTTTTTCGAGTCAAAGAAACTTTCCCATTCAATGTATCTACATCTAAAATTTTTAAATATATTTAACAATACGAGGCTTTAGGTGAAAAATCGAAGAAAATCAATAAGTTCAGTCATGTGATCTGTCAATTTATAAACCAAAATCATGCAACAGAAACGTTCCTGATGCGTGTGAAGACGAAATTTGTGATTCTTGAACTCCTAAGGGTTTGTCTCAAAGCATCGCAAATTAGATGGCAAATTCGTTGTTTTTGAACTAACTCCATATCTGAGTGTATTGAAGAGTTCAGTATATGAAAATGAGAACAAAAAATTTGGAGAGAGAAGGACTTTTCCTCTTTCGAACTGAATGCAGCGAGGAGAAAGGCTAAATGATATTCTGAGAAGGAGTCATCAACATTACTCATTTCTAACGAAATTTTACAGATAGAAGGAGTTTCACGAGGGGATAATTGACTTATGGAGGCGTTTATTTCATTCCAGCAGTGTCAAGATGAACTATAAAAACAGATTACTCTGATACTAGTCTCTCTTCACCCCACCCTACCCAGGCCTAAGTCTGAATGGGACTCACGGCGGTGAACTGATACGGCAAACTAACTCAGTAGGGGAGGGAGGCGTGTGAAATTGATATCCCATCCAGGATGTTAGGGAGGGGGGAGGGGGGGAGAGAGGGGATACCGCAATTTCCCATCTAGCGGTCGCTTCGCACAACGAAAACTGGAATAAACTCCTACGGATGTGGGCCACATGCCTTGCGAACAATGTGCTTTACTTTTGTCACCTAACGTCTTATCATTTCTAAGAAGATTTGAAACGCACTGAACGTAAGGCACAGGTATTGAGGAGATCTTAACTGGTGTCCGTTGTTTTATCAAGCAGAACTTTCTTTTATTCCTGTCGTGTATTTATCCTAAAACTCTTGAATAATTAACGTATTCTCAGCCTCATCTCCATAAGACGGCTGGTGGATGGCTCTCAGTCACTTGAGAGCCAACACCTCAGTCATGAATTCGGTGAGTGCTCATAGCTACAAGCTGAGTCCTACATTTTAGCCTGCGATGAACAGAATTGAGGCCGCCAATTTCAATATCTACGCTCAGATCCTGCGCTCACTTTGCCGATCAAAGAGAAACTGCCCACCATTACTGATAGAGGTAAGAGACAGTGAAACCCACGGAAATTTTTACGTTTTATCTTATGGATCATTAACAAAATGTCAGTAGTGAAGCTAATTATTAGGCTTTAAAGGGCCCACATGTGTATTGATGAACTCTGACAACTTTTAAAACATCTCAAAAGATGTAGCTATAATAATCCTAATTATTCAAAAAGAGGGTAAAAGCTGTAATTAATGAACTCAAACAGGAAGACAATAAAATATCTAAATTTGTAAAACATTTTAATTTACAGTTTACCAATCAGCCTGAGGTTGTTGTCTTCCGCAGGAAGTTGTCTCTAGAATTTCGTGTTCCTGTTTATATCTGTATATTCACATCTGTCATTAGCATAGTTGTCAAAGGGAATTCCGAATTAAGTATTACTTCTTTCTATGTTTCTAATGAAAACATTTAACTTTCCGTAGCTCGGAACAGCTCATGGAGCCCTGACAAATTGAGGATGCAAATTCGTATCGAGTTCTTTTTTTCACGAACCTTAAATAAGTTAATATTTACATCTGAGAAGACTTGGCAAGTAATTGAAATATCCACCCTGTAATCAATCTATTTCTTCTACGAATACCTCTGGAACCATTTGTCATGATTTTTTTCGAAGTTTTCGTAGGTGGCACTTCTTCTCCACGAGGAAAAGAACTGTTTTTGTGATAACGAAAGTGTGGAATTGGCGTGCGAATGCGTAAGCGTGAATATGCGTTACCTCACGGCTGTTCAAATATCATTCTTATGTGTTTACATTAAGTGTAAAACATGGGGTTTTTTGCGACTGTCAGAAGGATGACACATAGTAAACGATTGTGGAATAAGCTGCTGTCTGTGGACATGGTGAAAGTCGCTTCAATAAACATTTGACTGTATATTGTACGACTCTCATCGTGTCCAAGGCAGCCTCGACCGGAAGCCTAATCCTTGAGTCGCGCTTGTTACAAAAGAGAAATGTAACAGTTTCCAACGTCCTGAAACACGCATAGTTTTGAGTCTTCCGACGAGTGACTTTAATTTCGAAGCAATTAAAAGGTGCATGTTCACTGGCAGAGGTACAATTTAAGTCTATCCCTTGACTGTGTACTTTCAAATAACGATAACTCTCTTCATGTTTGACTACTCATATTCACAAGCGGATGACTTTTAACAAGAAGGCATAATCGGCCATTTCGATGCTAATTGCGGACAGTTCCTTATCATCCAAGATCACTTTCCCCAACTTCTCCAATCTCAAAGTTTTGACGTCATGTTTAGATCAGGAACAAAGAATTTACGCGGGCACGAACACTTATTTTGCACTGAATTCATGTCCACGCCCTCTTCCTTAAGCCTGAGAAGAGGACTCCTTCTTTGGGTATCACGCGGCAATAAAAGAACCACATCTGAAAGAAGGGCGTTTACTGTGACTTGGTAATGCTTGACCATGAATTGTACAACGTACCAAAATTAGGAAACATAGCGCCACGTGAAATGAAACGATTAAAGGCGTGTAATCGCCTGAACGCGATGATTTTGACAAACTAGGTCTGTTCCCAGGACGTTAGAAATATTTAATTGGGAACCGCGCCTGTACAGACCTGGAGAGGATCATGAACTCCCGGGAAAACCTCAACTGAAGACAGAGCCTTACCAAGCCTAACTGGTCCGCTCGATTACAAGCCTACGACCAGGAAGTGAGCCCATAATCCCCCCTGAACTGAGCAAACTAGTCCTGGGTACAACTTTATTTGAAAATCTACGTAATATTGTTCTGGGCTAAATTTTAATTTAAGGTCTCTTCTAAATGATCAAGTATGACACTATTTCTTTTAATAACCCAAATGATTCTCAGTTCAAGGTCTTACGGCCCAGTAAGCTGACTAACAGTTCAATTCTTCGGCCTTGACAAACCATCCAACTCAGATTAAAATTATTTATTTATCTTACAATACTTCTGTTAAATTTATGAATAACACAAAGGATTATTACTGCACAAGTTAGAGCGATTTTTAATGAAACTTTTAAAGGAATCCTTAATTCGAATTTTTTACTGTACATTTTTGGCTCCGTCATCAAACGATTTTGATCCGAATTCTCACTGTTTCATAAATTGTTTGCCTTGATAAGATTGACAGTTACATTAAAAACCGCTCTAACCATCACTAGAAGGTAAGAGGGTAACATTCAGGTTAACTCGAATTGAAAGACGAAGCGTAAAGGTAACAAAAGTTACGACATATTGAATTATAAAGCCCAAATGGCAGTTAGCAATCTAAGTTACACCAGGATATACAAATCCGACAGGTGGTTAAAGTTCAATTAAGCGACTGGTCAGAAAGTCACTTTTATATTTGAGAAGCATTCTAAACCAGTATAATAAAGTTTTCGTCTTTGGATAAATCAAGAGCCGTTGTTTGATCTCTGCGCTTGGAAAACAATTGTTACGCTATTTCACGAAGTATAGGTGTGCGTGACATTACAAATAAGAGCTGCGCACGGAGGAAGTCACGAAAGAAACATAAGGGTGTTCGTCAGTGACAAATATATGAATAAAGACGATATTGTGCAATAACTTTGGCAGAGTGCTACTTCTAAAATTCAGATGTCTAACTAACCGAAAAAACCGCCGAAATAACGTCGCCGACTCCTACAAGCAAAGGCAATGACAATCAAAAACGTGGCTGGGCAATGAATTTTAGTCAACTGAAAATATATATGCTGTCAAAGTCACTTCAACCCAGGCGCAGCCAAATTAATCTCTTCCCGTAAAAGCAACGAAGCACCATCGTAACGCCACATTGCAATCGTCATTACATAACCATGGAAACACAGGACAACGGATGCGCATGTCTGGAGGTTGATCCGCTGACTCACTTGTGTGTGGACTACGGTTCTACTTAGAGTTTTTCTTTAGAAGGGATCCATATAACAGGCCCTGACTGCTGACGTATAACTTCCTTACATTTGGTGTAGATTTCATCATAAGTATCACCTTGGGCAACCGCTAGGGAAAAAAAAAAGGGGAAAAAAGATGAACGAAGTAAATTTACTCTCCCACAGTTTTCATGTGACCGGGAAATTCTGGATTCTCTCCTTCTGAGCTAGGAAAAAGGGGTGTGATCACTGTCTGGTGATAGAAATTGAACACTCCTTGAAAATATAGAAGAACCACGATAATTAAAACAAACCAAAACAAAGGGAAAGCCAAAATCGGTTTGAATTGACAAAATTGGTGCTTCATCAAAACTGGCAAATAACGACAGAGGTAAGAGATATGAAGATATTAAATGTTTTATTACTGATAAATGAAATTTGTGATAGTTCCATGTCAGGTTTTATTAACTTACCAGTAAAATACTCTCCAAACTCTTGTTCTAGTTTAAGGGCTCTGTCATAAGTCTTCTGCGCTTGCTCCTCCGTTAGTCGTTTGTTGAGTTCCCGGATGGAGTCCACAGATTTTGGTTTCAAAAAGATGGCGATCGGATAAAGTGTTGCAACTTGGAGACGCTTTATGGCATAACCACTTACGTCCAGAATACAATGTTTATTCTGCGAAATAAAGCATTTCATCGTAGTAATTCGGATTTGTAATATTTGAAAGTTCTCATCAAAACAACCACATTTTCAGTGACGTAAAACTACTTGTCAAGTTCTACTGACAACAAAACGCGTTGTGATTCCTTTGGGGCTTTAAGCCTTCTTTGTTGTATTTTTTTTGGTGTTGTTTTTCAGCGGAGATAATGAAACACTTTTATTAACATTCTGATACTTCTGTCTGTTATTAAAGTGGATTCCACATTGAGTAGGAAAATCATTAAGAGACAAATATTTCATCGTTTGGCAAACCCTGGGATTCTTCAATTGAAGAGAGACAAATTAATGTCCAATGAGTGTCCATATCAACAGGACTTTTTTTGGCACATTTCTCTGGAGACTAATAGCTACGGAGAGCCAAATTAGTACCTCCACATTTACGCTTCTTTCATTTTACAAAAAGGGACTTAACCACAGTAGTGACGACAGGGAGAAAGGACAGAATTTCCCAGTCAAGTGGGTCTACATTGACGTCTTAGTATTTGAAGATGGGGATACTGAGCTGGTTTATAACTTTTTCTGGCAAATGGGAAGGGGGGAGTGAGGGGTCTCTTAGCTACTCCTAACCACACCCTTGCATTTGCGAGTGTACCTTTTCGGCGACTTCTTTGACTGACTGCACACTGGTCCCATACAAATTATCGTTGTATTGACCGGCTTCGATGAACATGTGGTTCTGAATTGATCGCTCCATCTCCTCACGTGACTCTACAAAATGATAATCCCGCCCATTCACCTCGTAGTCACGCCTCTCACGCGTCGTATCTGTAATCAAAAGAAAACAGTCAAATAACAACATTGAATTTTTTTTTATCCTGCTGTTTGGTAAATCTTATGTTAGACGCTCTATGAGGAAAGGGGAGTGTGCGGAGGAGCGGACGGGAGGGGCGGGGCGGGGCGATGCGAGGCAGGGGTTGTACTTTTTCACGGGAAGCGAAGGAGAGTCGTCCGGTTGTGGAGAACAACAGTGCCACGACGACGAGGTAAAGGCGGGGTAGAAGTGAGCCGTGTGCAGGAAGGCAAGCAGTTTGTTTGTCAAAACAATGCACTCCTACTAATGAACGAAAACTGAATCACCAGACAGGAAGAGATCATGGTCCCTTACACTAAAGCTTTCAAAACAAAACAATCAGAAACAACACTGTTCAAGTGTTTTTGGTATGACTACATACGGGGTACACAGCTGCCAAATTTATCCGGGAATTCTGAGATGAGGTCATCATTGATTCTGTCCTTAAGCGGTCCCAAGACTATCACGGGCCGAGTGTGTTGTAATTCGTGTTGGACCACAGCTTCGTACGATAGGATGTTGTCCTCTGCGCGTGCGCTGTAACTGCTTTCACTATCGCTAGCATTTGATGTATAGCTTGGTTCTACGTCACTTGTCGTCTCGTTTTCGGATTCTTTCTTAAAAAACGGTAGCTTCTTCGAAAATTTGAAACTTCGCTTTCGGCCTCCTGTTCCTTCATTAAACGAAGTCTACAAAGGATAAAAACAAAAGAAATTTTTTTCTCTAATTCAAGACGAATCTTTTCTGTTTACTTTACTCGTGTTACACGAAATGAAACTATCAGATAGCTGCTGAATGAAATAAGTATGAAAGAAAGTGATCAAGATCAGTTTCAAACTCAATTTCCTTTCCTCTTGTCATGAAATTAGCGGATAATGGTGAATATGGGAGCTGAACTACATTAATTCACCCCTAAATAAAAATACTTCTTTCCATCAAAAACAAATAAATCGATAGACTAATGAATATCCGAGTAAATAAATACACCACTGAAAAAAATTAAAATGGGTTTTACCTTTGTTTTATTTTCCTCGCTATTTCTTGAGAATTTCACTGTTTTCATTCTTGATTTTTCTCTTCTCTCGACTCTGAAAAACAAAAAGGAGTTAACTTTACAATTTGCCTTAGGTAATGAGAAGAAGTATCTTGATCAATGAAGTAGCCTTGTCCTAATCTTACCTCCTCTTACTGGGGATGACACCTCTCCCTTCCTCCTCCCCCAGAGCATTCAGCCGTCTGGCCTGCCACCACTCGTCATCACTAGCATTGGTCACATGAAGAATGTCGCCGTACTTGAAGCTCAGGCCCTGACTGGGGAGACCACTGTCCTTTGTTTTGTCGTAGTCAAACAGAGCCCTAAAAAACGTAAAATGTATTGAGTGGGTCAAAAATCAGACTCCTATAATCAGACAGGATTATAAACTTAGACCTCGCTAGGTTTCAGAAAACAACTTTTCAGCAATTCAGGGTGGACAGTGAAATCTGCTTTAGGAATGAAAACGCATAAAGGAGGTCTTCCTTTAACCTCCTTAAGAAATTTAGGATGACAGATGAAATGTCTCGACATCAGGAAAGACCTCGGGAGTAAATGAAAGCCATGATAGGCATTCCGCTCCTCTCCCAAAGATCACACCCACACCAACGACCACACCCACCCACAACAACAACCGCACCCACTGACATGAAATGAGGAACTCAGGAACGTGACGTCGGCAACAGAGGAGGGGCGCCGTGAAAGCGGAAGCAACTAGGATATTTTGAGTCTAATAAGCGACTCAGAAAACTTCCATAAAATAAAAAGAGAACGCGAACATAAATTGAGCTGAAATACATTAATAAGGAAAAGGAAGGAGAAATCCCCGTGGATTACCAAGAACTACAAATGGGAGCTTGAGATTAATTAACTACAAGCACTATTGATTTACTTATCTCCTTCACCATCATCTAGAATAATTGTCAATTAAATCTGTTTAAGCCTGATTTGCTCTCATACCTTCGACCATTTAGACTACTTTAGTCACTAAATTTACTTTTATTAGGAAAATTCTTTAATCAACTGCATTCATAATTGGAACTAAAAGCCTGGATACAAAGCGAGTGTGAGGCATTTGTGTAAAACCCAGTTTATATCTTGTTTTTCTTCTACTATTAATTAAAAGCTCTTTCTCATTCTAAAGACATCGAAAGACAAGCATGCGGAGAAAGATACCGGGCGGCAAAATTTTTAGCCCTCGCTCTGAACTCAAAACCAGCTCCAGCTGGAATCACACAAAACAAAACAAATATTCAGAGCAGATTACAGGATAAGAGTAATATATTAGTTCAATTTAATCAGCTCAGTGTATCGAAACCTGCCCATAAAAGTGTTATTTATCAAAGCAGCAAAGCTGGAAAAAAAGCGTCAATCAGTATTCGCGCTCATGGTGAAAAGAGGAAAACTAGTCTGAAACTATGAATACGATTTCTGATTTTGTACACAACAGGAGGTATATTGAAGGGTTGTCGCCCTGAGTGTGTTTTGCAAATAACGCAACAGGAGGGTTGTTTTGAGATAGTCACGCAAGACAAAGTTTGTGAATATTCCAGACTATCTCTCCGTTTCACCGTTGTATTGCTTTGCACATGAAACATCCGCTAAAAGATTCACTTCCACGACAATAAATACAAGAGAACAGCCATTGTAAACTTTATAAACTACTTGGCGCGTTGAAGCAAGTGAGAAAATAACAACAGCAAAACTAAGTCAGATCGATGTCGACAGAAAATGACGAACATTTCAAGAATGCCAGTGACTTCAAACAAGCATCACAGATTGAATTGACTGAGAAAGAAACAGTGTTCAAACTAAAGATAGCGATTTGGTATTTGAGACATACAAAACCCCTCGTTTATAAGTGAACACGGGATCCTAGCGAACATGATACCCATCACAGAAAAGGGTGAAAAGAGCGTTATAACTAATCTCCTTAGATTTAAGACACGAGTCAGGGTCGTATTTTGAGTCAAGCGAGCTATTTTTAAAACACAAGATAAATATTCACGTTTATTTCTTACCTAACATATAGCTGGCGCTTCACGGACGTCCTCAAAGTTCCCGGACTTCCACTGTTCATCATTTTCTCACGAATATCGTGAATTTTCGCTTCAAACTGATTGTATTCTGTAAAGAGACAACAGACACAAAACCACACCGTTATTTCGCTGCAAACTTACAAGAAAACCACGCGTTCACGCGGCTAAAACAGACAAAATAACTCGGCGCTAACGAGTAATTTTCCCACTCCAATATGCAAATTGTTGGAGATACTTGCCTGTTACGTACATAAACTCTTAGCGTAGCCTTGTTCATCAATTAACAACCGACCGAAATACCCACTAGAACTCTAAAATCAGATCCACGAAGATAAACTAACTAATAAATAATCAAATGTAACGCAATATTCGTTTCACAATCGACGAATCAAGATTTCAACTTTGGTGTAACCATATGATATTATATTGGCACGGGCGTGCGGGCTACGCGAAGCGCCGAATTGTCAAACTCGATCGACTAATAGCAATTTCGCTGTTGAGTTCATTAAATTTTCCGCGATGGCCAACGAATGCAGACAACAGCAGCAGAAATCGTTAGCCGCAGCGCATATCTAATCCATTATGTCCGTTCATATTTAATGAACTATCACAAGCGCGTTCCCTTCTGGGTGTACTAAGCTTTTGTTTATTAATTCTCACAAGGCCACAAAACTCAAACTGAATCAGAACAAAACACACACTGATCATCAATAAAAATATAAAAATATTAGTCAAGTAAATAATCCACGCCTTGGCATACATCCACTTTTTGAAAACTTAGCAGTATTCATTCACAGCACAAGATGAATCACATATTCGAGTTGAACACGGCGACATCTTTACAAATTGCTTTCATTGGTATGCTGATGACTTTCTGAATATTCTGTCCTTAGATGAAAGATACTTCAACGAATAAGTCAAATGACAATTTGAGTAGCATTTTTAGAACATGATTGTCACAATTATGGTATTTTTCCTCTCTGTCGAAAGGGAAATTACACCATATGAACATATGAAAGGGGCATAGAAAACATAGATATTGGAATGGGAAGAACAACGGAAACTCAACATAATCTGTTGAAACATCACACATACATTATTTTCAAGCATGTCACTTTTAATCAATGTCCGATCCTTACGAAAGTTTTGATTTATCACAATGTTGAACCCCAAAAAATTCGCAGTGCTGAACCCTACAAAATACTATAAAAATCTACAAAAAGCTTCAATTTCGCCGAAAACCATTGTATAAACATCACTTTATAACAACTCTTAAAATAAAACACTCTTGCAAAAAATTACCATGAGCGGAACAGGCGCCTTGATAAAATTACAGACACACATGGCGATATTTGTAAACATTTTATGCAGGAAGTCGAATAAGAACAAATCAAATGTATACACACTGTTTCATGCCAACCAAAAATACACCAAGCGGTTAACGAGACCTAATAAATCTGTCAAATTAGTTACAAGGTTTTTGTGACCATCAGCTGCGATTGTAAATTTTACGACTCTCTTAAGTGTGAAAATGACAACTCGAAGGATGAAAACTGGACAGAAAAAAAAACTAACAATATCATGGTCCAAGACGCATATTCATATTTCCGTGAGACGTGAAAACTCGAAGTTCACCGGCAGTATACTAGTTAATATAAATTCGAAAAACCGATTCTATAAATAATATTATTTCAAAGAAATTTTGTCCAAACTAATATTGAGTGTTCAATTCAAAACCTAGCCAATTGTCGAAAGTTTTTTAGACTTTCGGAGAAACTTTTAAGAAATCGAGGGAAAACCACAGATGAAATTTAGAAGAGTTTTTCGTAATAAAATCAAGAAGCAATATAGCGCTTACCTTCGGGTTTATACTGAGCCATTATCACCACAGTGTTCCCAGCGCCCTTCAATGCAGCGGCTGCTTTTTCGTGTGTGGCGTCCTCCAAATGGGTATCATTTACCTGAAGTAAAATGAATCGAACTAACTCAAAAAATAAAAAGGAAAATACATCAAGAAAAGCTTAAAACGCGTTCTAATCTTAAAAAAACGGTTACATGAACTCAAATAGAACGCCCTGTCTCTGAAACACAATGTTAAGAACGATGCTGTTATAATGAAAATTTTAACAAAACTGACTCGAATATCATGGCGTCTTCTCGCACAAATTCGGTTTAATTTGTTGGCATATCTGATTTCGTTATTTATAATTCATCACATGGGTCTGTACAACGATAGCGACTCTTCCAACGACGGCAATTATGTAGAGAATGATTTAAGCGCGTCAAAATTTACATTTTAATTGCGACTTGTGAAAATATTAGTACTTGTTACTTAATACTGATGGAAAATGAATAGCTAATGCTGATCAAGAAGAAACCTTCTAACATCCTTTCAATTCACGAAAGAAACCAACACCAAGATCACATTGCGCTTAGATCAATCTAAGAGATCAAATAAATGACAAATTTCATCTAAACATTTCATAGGTATTTCCTTTTTACCTGGAAGATGGCAAGACAGGCAAATTGTTAAATATTGGTTAAGTCATTGACGTGTATTGCTGTTTCCTTCTCAATACCATTTGTTCAGCGGATCGATATTTGTTTCTTGTTATATCTCATTGAATACATTGACGAGAATCGACTGCGCTACCCACGGGTTACGGGACAACACCGAAAATTCCCACCCACGCTGATTTCAAACGAATTAATAACAACCAAACAATGCGGTTACTGCACAAATATTTGGATTAAAGAACAGAAGAATAACTGTTGCAATATTTGTGGTCGAACCAACAAAGACAGGACATTTCCAAGAAAGGTTGGGAAATGATTGATGTAATCTGCTTCTGATTGGAAAGGGAGTTCACTAGTTTAAAGAAATTAGACACGGTCAAATCACAGTTTCTCAAAGCGTGGGGAAAATATCGATTCAAGCGTTACACCTGATTGTATAAGAGAACGTCATCTAAGCTGTGATTAGCCACACGCGCGCCCTGATTCGCCTTGATGCTACATACTCCTCCTTTATAGAAGAATTTCGACGAAACTAAGAGTTACATAGTTAATAACAATCTTACCGAGAGGATTTGATCGCCTCTTCTCAGTTCTCCACTGAGATCAGCCACACCACCAGCAAGAATGAAAGAGATAAAAATTCCTTCACCATCTTCACCGCCCACGATGTTAAACCCCAGACCCGTGGGTCCCTTGTTCAACACGACATTCCTTGGCTCTCTGTCAAGATACCAATTCAAATTAATCACATATTGAAACCTAACTTTCTCACCATGCAGTTACAGTTGTGTAAAGGGGGGATCAGTTCTGTTTGTATTTTAACTAAAAACAGTATTTCTGTGTATGTTGATGGTTTAGAAAATCTGCACAAAAACTGTGAAAGTGCATTAAAAAATAAAAAGCGCGATTTATTTCTATGAAAAATTGTCAGAACGATGTTTTTTAAAAACGCTTCCTTACAAGAAGAGCAACAAACGACACCTCTTTCGTAAACATAATACAACTGCAATCTTATCACTCTCCAAAATTATAAACTTTTCAAACCTCCAAACCAAACAATCAAACAGAAAAAGGGTCCTAACTACAAAACTACAAAACTGCTTCCATTCTAACCTTGTAAATCCATCATCCTCTGGCACTGAGGGAGCTTGTGTTTTTTTCAAACTGTTAGTATGTTCATTTGGTGGAGCACTTTCTTGAACAGGCACCGCTATTGGCAGTATGCTATCTGTAACTTTTTCTTCTGGTGGGGGGGATGGTGGAGGTGGTTGACCTGCCATGGAAATAGATATACTTTAATTAAACTTGCCTCAGTTGTACAACTCCCATTAACTGGGTTTGACCTTGTCACAAAATTACATGTTTCTTTCAAAAGTTTCAAACAGAAACAAATTTTCAAATAAGCTTTAGCAAAGACCAAGCTCAGAATGCCACATGCTATGGTCTTTGTTTTCTCCAAAATTGCATTAAATTTTTGTTTGTACCAGATTTAATGCCCCAGAGAAAGTGTCGATCATAGATCCTCTATGATTCACACTTTGTTCCATGATGCCATTCCTGTTGATAGGAGACCAAGACAAAATCACCCAAAACACAGCCCATGTTGGTACATACAGAAACCACATAGAGCACACAGCACACTATGTGTTCCATTTAAAAAAGGGGTAGTGGCATGATCATGTGGAGAGTGCCTTGGACTCTCAATCCTGAGGTCCCAGGTTCACAAACCTCTCTGGGTAGTCCTTAGTTCAACTCCTTAATCACAGTGGTAAATACCTGACTGGTACGCTTCCTTCCGGCTGAGGCAAGAATTATGGAGGAAACCCAAATACCAGGTTTTCAGTCATGTTTTACTTGATTTGTATGATCAATATCAGGTGCTTTTTATTTGTGGGCCAAAATAAAAACTTTCATGTCACTAATAATAACATGTCACCATTATAAGTACGAGTACTGTCTGTCCATTCCAGAATCTCTGCAGAGAACAGCTTACTTTTGATATATTCATATGAAACCAACCAAAACAACATGTTATGTCTGCTAATTAAAAGCTATGAAGCCTGGTACTTACTTAAATTTACAGCTTCGTGATAAACTGGGGGAGGGGTTCCTGAATCAGTAGTATGCATCATGCCCACTCTTGACACAACTATAACAACTTTATTTTGTGTCTTCTTAAGAGTGGCCACAGCATCTTCATGTGCTACATCCTCCAAGGATGTATCATTTACCTACAGTGGGGCAAAGACACCACATGTCAAATATCTTCATGCACCAGCAGCTGAGGGAGGAAGTTGGCTAGGTTGTCATATTTATTAAAAGAATGATGTAAAGTACTTAGTTTGAACCATACTTATTTTTTCCCTTATTCCCATTATATACACTACATTCTGCTAATTGCATCCTGTCTTTTTTCCTAATTTAAATTTTATCCAGTGGTGGGGGGAAAATTTAAATAGAATAAGTATGCCACACCTAAGATATATCAATAAAATACTTAACCCTTTAAACCCTATGAGTGACCAGCATCTAATTTCTCCCTACAATATCACTCCTGAATCACACATTAAGGTTATGAGAATAAAGGAAATGGTCACCAGGGAAGGAACGTTTTGATTGGCAAACAAATTCTCCCTGTCAGCATCTTAGGAAATGTATAAAGAGCAGTGTGGAGAATATGCATACTGATGTTAGGCTGTAAAGGGTTAATTACCAACATGTAACTCACCCTAACTATCTTGTCTCCTACTTGTAGTCTTCCATCTTGCTGTGCTGCCCCTCCATCAATTATCTTGGTGATGTAAATTCCATCATCATTTGGTACATGTTGATTCCCTTTGCCCCCTGCGATACTAAAACCAAGACCTGCATGAACAAAATAATATGGCATCTTAATCACTTGAAAAGTGTAGTGACAAACAAAATCACCTCTCTTACCCTTGGTTCCTTTTGTCAATACTATTTCTTCAGTCTGCTGATTTTCAGAGCCTGGTTTGGCAGATTGCTCTCTCTTTAATGTCTGTCAGTTCAAATAATCACATAGTTACTCATAATTGCAGCTGTTTTCATACAATGTCATTTTGATTTCTTGCATAGAACAAATATCAATTAAAGTTTCTCTGAGACTGTCTTGTGCACCTTTCCCACTGAGCTTTATATCTGTACTTCTGCACATTAAACTTTATTACATTACCAAAAACAATGGGTAATTTGATTTAAACTCATTAATATGTCCTTATACCATCTGTATTTATTAATCAAATTCTGTAAGAAAGGATGTGACAACAATCAAAATGCAGAATAAATACAACTTTAAACACCTTGACTGCTTTCAAAATACTTCCTCAATATTTAAAATTGTGAGCAAACATAACAGCACTTGTTTGATACTGAATCATTATTGATGAAATGGTTGACAAATAAAAGCAGGCAGTTACCAATGTCACAGTCCCACCAGCTGCTTTCAAGGCTTCCACAGCTTCCTGGTGAGACACATTAACTGTTGATGTATTGTTTACTTTCACTATACAATCTCCAACACTGCAAATAAAATGAACAATTTAATCAATAAGCAATAATAATTCAAATAAAAAAGATACTTCTGGTAAAATCCCCAGATGTCAGGCTTTAAATCCAAGGTGCCATATAGAGCACCTATGTGAAATTAACCTTACCTTGTCCTGAATTTAAGTAAAATGGCATTAAAAAATATATTGACCTCTATTTGGCAAATAATAATACTAGTTTAGTTTGGAGAAAACTTACTTCAGTCTCCCATCCTGAGCAGCAGCACCTCCTTTGATGATTCTTGTGATGTAAATGCCAAAATCATTATCTATATGTGGGTTATCTTTTCCTCCACCAATACTAAAACCAAGACCTGTTGTCCCCTGAAAACAAAACACAATCACAACCAGCTGAATCACTGAAGAGATAATCAACAACTCTTTAGGTCAGTTGTGAATGGACAAGGAGATTGAAAGAGACATTTATTTCATTTTTTAAACACAGAAAAAAAATAGTGTTTGACAAAGAGCTTTCAAATGCATGCAGCTTCCTTTTGGGTAGTCTGCCAGAACATATCAGAATATTTTGCACCTTCATCTTTTATCACTAAATTGCACTATAAAGTGCTGATTACAAACACAATATTCATGTTGCTAGAGTTCCTTGCCTCACTGGCAGGACTTGTCTCAAAAATAAATACAAAATTCCTAGGAAAGAGAGAGTACAAATTTAACTTTAAAAAATCAGTACAATAATCCCACCCTTTCTAAAGTGATGTCAATGCATTGATAATCCCCAGAGTCAACATGGCCATTTTCCTGTAAAAGAAAAAAGAGAAAACTGTTTAGAAACTTTGTCACATTCACAACTGATGCATACAGTTTGTTTACAGCTGCAGCATCTGGGTATTCATAAGCTCTGTTTTCAATTAGTTTCAATGACAAGAACTTTCACCATAGATTCCCTCACATTAACTTCCACATTTGACCTCTGTGCTTCCACAAAATTGTCACCTTGCAATTTCTTTGTGTCTTTTATGTGAGCTGAGATTCAAAATCCAAAAGTATAGGAGAATCAGACCAATTTTTCCCCTTTATTTCAGAAAACAATATGGGATAAAAAACCAATATTGTTAAATTTGTTGCTTGAAAGTGATGGGAAAATACAGCTCAAGTTAACTCAACTTGTCATTTAATTTTCACCAAAGAAACCAATGTGTTTACCACAACAGGTGGTCATTAGTAACTTATCAAAACAATTAGCACTCTGTTGTGTATGTAGCTACATTGCAATAGTTATCAAGTGGTTATCATGTTGAGAGCCCCCTGTATTAAGCGAAAGACTGAACAGCTTTAAAATTGATGATTAAGAAATTAAACTGGCTTTGACTACAAGGACAACTCCAACTGAAGAGAACTTGTTTGAATTGAACAAACATGGATGTACATGTATACAACAACCAATAGTGAAATCAGAGGTTTTTCAAATTTCAAAGAATAAACAAACTTTACTGACTAGAAATTATACATCTTTGAGGACATTTAAACCAGCAAAGAAAAAGTTGTTGAACTTCCAGAAACAACTCCACTCGTCCATAACATAATTTACATTCGGAAAAAATAAACTTAATTGTTGTAAAAAAGGTATTGACAAAATAACAGCTTTTAAACTGAAATGTCTATTTTCCCACCCTTGGTGAACTAAAACAAACTTAACATGCAAAAAAAAATTCTCCAGAAAGGGTATCAATATCTGACACATCATCATTTCAAGGTCCAAAGGTCTGATAAATCAAGATGAACTTTGCAATTTCTATTACAAATAAGGCAGGGAAATGGAAGCAAAAACTATCCTGGAACAAACACTGCCCCTAGGCTAACATTTGCAGCCCAAAAAAATTTGTTGACCTCTCCTGACAGCTTTAGTGTAATAATCTCATATTAACCACTAAAGACTGGATGTGCAGACAACAGATTGTATCATGCTTTTAACTACTTGAGGTGACATTCTGTTCTATTTATTAGCATATATGACAACCATCAATTGTCAGCTGTGCAAGCTCCCTTGTCACTTTCAAATGAAACTGAACTACTAAAGCACCATCTGTTGGCCAGAAGAATTATGTAAGACAACCCACTGGTATGAGAAAAATATGACAAACACAGAGCAGTGTGTAATTTTTGGACAATTGATAAGCATAACAATATGCTGACTCCTATCAATCGAGGGCACTTAACAAGTTTAGTTCTACAGTTCTATTTCTCTACTTACCAATCCACTATCAACATGTGAAGACTCTGCAGTTGATTTCTAATGTTAGAGGATAAAAAAACACAACCCAAGTTAGGTTGAATAGATATACAAATAACATTCAAAAACAAACTTATTAAACAAGATACACTTCAATGAGTGTCTGTACCCCACTGAAAGGTGTACAGGATCTTAGCAATTTTCTCATTGTGAAGTTGAAAGCTATGTGCTTGTAAAACTTAATGGACAAGGAATTTTCAGTGCCAACATTTTCCAATTCTTTGGGTGAATTTATCACGAATTCACACAAGAAGTTGATGGCATCTGTTGTAACATGAAACTTCAAGCTTCAGTAAGTAGTAATAACTATGCATACTAATAAGCTGCTTAAGTCAAAACATCATGCAAACAAAACCACAATCTTTTTAATACTGAATACAAATGCCAAGCTTCAGTGCACAAGCTGATAAAACCCAGACAAAAAGTTATTCTTTCCTTAAATTTTTTAAAAAAAATGTGGTACAACTATTGGCATAGTTCAAGATTAGGACCTTCTTTTCTTCTACCACATTAGATGACAATCCATTTATGACACAATGCAATTAATTATCACCATAGGAAAAATTGTGGTTTCACAGGAAACACCCTTTCCTGATCCACTAGAAAAAGTATTGCAAGGATGATTTGTGACTAACTTCTCCATACATATCACATGTATGTAGTGAGAATGAAGAATTTCACAAACTACAGAAAACTTCAACTAAAAGATGAAAAGCAAATTTCGCATAATAATAACAATAATAATAATAATAATAATAATAATACATGAGATAACAGACAAACAATAAAGGGAATCTTTACTTTGGGCTCAGAGTACAAGGCAGCTCCAACATGAGAAAACATAAATCATTTTGGAACTGCACTACACATAAAAATATCTAAACTAATTTGAAACTGGAAATTTGAAAGAAATTCCAAAAAACCAGTCGTCATTTTATCTCACTGATAGGTGGTTGACTAACTTTCAAGGAAAGTGGGAATATCGAACAACCTTTTTGGTAATAGAGGAGAAAGAATTTATCTAAATCTATGTGTAAAAAAATTTGCTCTCTCAAATCAAAAATAAAGTTTAGATTAATCCAAATTGGAGTTATGTGATCTAAGATTGTTTAAACTAAGATGTGCTCAAAATGTTAAGTAGGTTTGCACTTAGACAAACCAGCAATGTGTGGAATTGGTTTAATGAAATTATATGTCATTAATAAGATAAAAAACAGACACACTAAAATTATTTCATGCATTGTCTAAAAAGATTAAAGCAGAGTCTTGTACTCAACCATGAAAACAAAAAATGAAGGTACAGCACTTTGACCAAATAGATTAGTGATGATATATAAATCAAGAGCAAACTGAAATACTGTGAACACAATTTTAGAAACTTGTAGATTTAATTCACTTTAAAGTGAGTCCTCTAATCTCCACAGCAACAGACATACATCAAATTAGATCACTAAAAACCTTACCATACAAATTGAAATTTGGATTAAACACAATCTGACAAAATCATCAAAATAATCCTCTATCAAAGTTTCAAAATCTTCTCAAATCAGCAATATTAAGACATTATAGTTAATTCTGGTAGCAGTTTTAAGGTTAAAAGCAATTTCAGAGATGCTTTACCCTTCAATAGCTTCCAAGATCTGAAATTTCTTTCTTGACTACTTTGGCAACTTTGCTGTTACATCAAGGCAACATCTCCAAATAGATAGTTATCCTTTATCCACTAATAATTTCTGGGAGTCAAATGGTTAACCCTAAACTGTTACTGGTGACTAAAAAGTGATTTCTCTTTACTATGTTGATATATTACCCAAAAAGCAGGTGATAATAATATATATAATTATCAGCTAAAAGTAGTTATCTTGGTTAAACACAAAAATTATCTTTGTTGATTTTCAAATAAACGTATAGCAGCCACAAATAGAATTACAGATAAAATCTTAGGCTCATTTTTCAAAAAAACGATGGCAAACCTCCACAAAGCTGTCTTGCTGGTCACTCTGGACAATACTTTGTGTAACCACTGGAGTCAGGACTGTTTCTCCATTTACACCTCCCTAGAAGATATAATAAGAACAAATTGTAAAATGATAGCTTTTTTATCAGGTATACAATCTTAATAACAAAATGAAACTAGATATCAATTCAAAAGCAAGCGAAGTCACGAGAGACAGCATTAAAATCAAGCAACAATTCCTGTAATTTTTTATTTCTTGTGCTGCCAAATGGAATTATTGTTTGAAAGGACTAATGTCATTTTTAGTAATGTTAATAATGCTGAGATAAACCTGTAAGAAAATCTTGAGGTACAAAAGTATAAGGAAAAAATTTCCACCAATATTGCAACTTGAAGATTATTTCCTGCATATCAATTTGAAATCTAAATCCTTTTAACACTATAACATCTACAAAAATAGAAGGTCAATAAATTTATGATTACAAGTAGAACTTTTTGAAGCATGTTCACTAAGGCTCATGAACTTAGCGCAAATTTAAGTTACCCTCAAAACAAACTGCAGAACAAAGCAGAATTTTGCTTAAAAATAAATCATCACTAATATTTGGTCAAAAATAGGTTGAGGGAAAAACCTCACAGTTTAAATGTCTTGCCAAAAGCAACATACCATTTAAAAATGGTTTATTTTGCATTATGATAAATCACAGTTTAATCTACAACAATAAAAAACTTAATTATCACTGCTGGTAACAATAAATTTTAAATGATATGAGTCTTGTCAAAGACATCAGTAAAACGTTGTTTTAACGTAAACTGATCGCAGATAGTAATGTTTTATACACAAAAGAATAATTATAGAATTCTTTTAAGGACGACGATGAAGATTCACCTACACATGACCAATATTTCAGATTTAACACACGCAATCTGTCATTTTGTAAAATTGCACCTTACATCAGGAAATGTTCCAATGTTTAAATATGTCAATTTCCTTTGTGATTGTCTCTCCTCGAATAAGACACAAACTTCAAGATGTTATTGTTAGTTATTTCGAACTTTCGCTACATTATCAGATTTCGTTGCGCTCCTCTAGAAAAACCGTTTCAAAGTACAGGAAGCAAAGTCTAGCTACAAATTTACCTCTTCGAAATCCTGATAGCTTGGAGGCGATTCCACAGGGGCATGATGACTCTGCCAACTTCGTAAGGCTTCATGCGTTTCTTCAGCTTTTTGTTCGGGTGTTTTGGTGTCATCTAACAATGTGGTTTCGTAAAACTCTTGTATATCTGAATTTTAATTATACAAGAAACATACAGTTTGAAAACACAACAGCGAGGGGCCTACAGAAATATTAGAAACGCGGACCTATTGAAATCCTCTTCGACGGCTTGCTCCAGCGGGTTATATCTCATTCTAGATTGTCAAGACAACGAAATCGAACAGAAAATAAAACCGCTCAATAATAATTATTCAGGTACCATCGCTAACTAGTACCCTTCACTAAATATAACACTCGAGAAATGCAAATATCAAACGGATCTTACCAAGTAGAGCTAGAAACAGATGACTTTGAAATATCCGAATTACTCTCTCGATGGCCATGCGAAGCGCTCGATCTTGCGGCTTGTTTAACTTCTCATAGTAACGCTCCAAAAGCTCGAGAGCTTTACTAGCATCTGAAATAATAACATTTGAATTTAATGCGAAAAATCACTTCATGGCAGTAACATTATTTTAGTGATCACTGCTTATTGCAGAACTCCCCGTGAATTCAAACTCGCGGAGACGACCTACCTTCTTTACGAACCGGCATGATCCCGCCGTTTTACGCCTCCCAGATGACTGAAACAAAAAATTCAAAGCGAAACAAAACTTAACGGTATGCTCCCGAGCCCTCTGACGAAAATTACCCAGGTACTAGTCCCGAAGGAAGGATGACTTAAGTCCAAACCGCTCCACATTCGATAAAATCAACATGATAAACGCCTTTTGCGTGCCAGCGGCCACAGAGTGAGTCACGTGGATGTAATCAGCCAATTGCGCGCAAGAGAGAGGAATGAGCCATCTCTTGCAATCGTTTCTCGTGATTGGCTGTGACTTGAGGAGTTAAACCGCTCATAAAGCAGAGAAATGCACAGCGTCTGCTGTAAGATTGCTCCTTCTCTACCTGTTCGTAAAGAATGTTCTTTTTCAGAAATTATGCTAACGGTTTTACTAAGAAAATCTACTCTCATTGGTTCTCAAGATTCTAGCAGCCACTCAACAAAATCTGTCATCAAAATAATTCATGATATCAGGAATAACTCTTTGGCTCACATGATGGTCGGTGAAATTATCAAAACTAGCACCAGGCAGGATGTTTTGTTCAATACTACATGCAAAATGATAGAATCCTGCCGTCAAGGAAAACAACTTTTATCTTTCCGCCCGCCAACTGTACCAGACATTTTTTCCTTTTTTTTAAATCTCTATCCCGACCGCCCGGTCTGTTCTGAACCTATCCAAATGACAATATCTGCTTTTAAGCGGTTATACGCGACAAATGTCATCGATGTTTTTAAAACATAATTTTCGTGCCGATAGTTTTGGTTGTTCTTATCTTGAGAAGTCCGGAAAAATGTTTTTCTATCCTATTTTTCATAAGAACACGAAAACTAGGAAACGAAAATTGGAGGAAAAAATAAAAGCAGGCTTACTTTGCTCACTGTTTAGATAAGCAAAATAATCACTCTTGTTCGTTCTTTTGTTTTTGTTTTTTTCGGGGGGGGGGGAGGGAGGAGAAGTGGGGGTGGTAACAAGTCATAACATCCACTTATAGTTAGTTGCTATTTTTGACAAGACTATTCTCGGTACGATCTGGAGGGGAGGGGTGAGGAGTTGGCCTCTTATTTCGGTTCTCCCCTGAGGCAAAGAAGTCTTATTTCTCGAACAAAAAATTTTTAACGGTAATACCATCATCTATTGCCGTAAACACAAACTAATGCATAGAAACTGACATTAAAGGAGGATCTACAGTCAGACAGATGTAACTAGATATCATTCTTGTGACTCTCGCAACTTCGCTGTCCAAAATAAAAGGACATAGTTTAGTGTGAGAGTTTGATGGCAGTTTACCGCCACAGAAAGGATCTACATATCATTTCTCCTCACGATTTCGATGCAACATCCTTCAAAGGAGTCGTGAGAGTAGACTAGCTTGTCAGCTGGAAGGAGTCATCTTGATTCAAAACCAAATTCTTTCATGTGACTTTCAAAGAATTGTGCGGCAGGCCGAATGGAGAATTACCAATCGGATCTTGGGAGTTACGGGTTAACACAAGTGATTTTTAAGACCGTCGCTATCTGCTTTCCGGCCTTCAGGGAAGTGTATTTATGAGAAAAACTTTTGCAATCGTTATCAATGGGAGATATACTCCTTAAATGTATGTCTTGGAATAAGAAAAAATCCGGCGAAATCAATGTTCATTCATTTTGTCAAATGTGTTGGCTAGTTGTTAGTTTTTAGCTCTATCTTTTGGCCCAATGATGTTAGAGCAAAACATAGTTACACTGTTCACAATTGAACTACGTTCTCATATTTCACTCAGGCACTATACCTAGATTTATTGAAGGAAAATTTAGGACTTCGACAACATACTGAAAGAGCAAAGATTTCTGAAGTCTACGTCTACTCTGCATCAAACAGGTTTGTAATCCAGTTTAGACTCCAGCTTCTTATTGTCGGAGACTTTACGTGCAGCTTTCATAAAGTCCTCCTCGATGACATAGTCTCTCTCAGCGCGAATAGCGAACATACCTAAAAAAGAAAGAGCAGAGAATTTATCTAACTACAACAAATGTAATAACACTTAGAGATTTATTAACAAGCTCTTAGGTTCATGGATAGATAAAAGAACTCTCAGATATGTTCTTCTTGTAACCCAAGCTACACTCCCTCGATCAAAAGTTTTGAAACCTTTAGAGTAACTTAGTTAAGGGTTAAAATGGAGAAACACGTGACTTTTTTAACCTGCTTCGGTGCACACGTTTCTCAAGTCAGCGCCGTTGAATCCGTCAGACAACTTCACAACTGCTTCGTAGTCTATAAGAAGAAAAACCGGAAACAGTTACTTCTGTTCCTCCCGAGATTATAGTTGCTCCTTTTGTATTTTTAGATCTTTCCAAATCAATAAGTACGGTGGCCCACAACTGTCACGCCAAAGAAATAACCTTACGGCCAAAGAAATAACCTCACGGCCAAAGAAATAACCTCACGGCAAAAGGAAGAACCTCGCAGCAAAAAAAAAAAGACTCACGGCCAAAGAAAAAACCCCACGGCAAAAAGAAAACGACTCACCGCAAAAGAAAAACCTCACGGAAAAAAGAAAACGACTCACGGACAAAGAAAAAACCTCACAGCAAAAAGAATAACCTCAGGGCAAAAGGAATAACCTCACCGTGAGGTCTTTTCTTTTGCCGTGAGTCTTTTTCTTTTTGCCGTGAGGTTTTTCGTTTGCAGTGAGGTGCTTTCTTTTGCGGTGAGTCTTTTCTCTTTTGCCGTGAGGTTCTTCCTTTTGCTGTGAGTCTTTTCCTTTTTGCCGCGAGGTTATTTCTTTTGCCGTGAAAGTTGTGGGCCACCGTAAATAAGGTCCTTGAACGTCACAACAAATGACCAGAAAAACATGAAATAGCGCACATGGTAACGATGTCTCATTCGTGAAACACAGCTGCTTGTAAAACGACTCACGTGCCAGAAACGCACCTGCATATACTCTAAACCAATCAATATCATTTTGGAACTCAAAAGAAATTCTACAAAAAGTGCTTACCAATCTCTCCATGCTTAGTTATCTTTGCTGAATGGATCTTTAGGATATCCATACGAGCTTGTTCATTCGGCAGCGGAATTTCTAGAGCAGAAGGGAAGGGTAATCAGAAACTTTAAGTTTTTGGAACTTAACATACCCAGTGCAGATAAACGAACAATTTTTTTTTTAAAAATGTGAAAAACAATCTACTTTCACGCAAAGTGGTAAGGTTATCATCTTATACCCACCTATCTTCCGATCGAGACGGCCGGGTCTGAGGAGAGCTGGGTCGAGGGTATCTGGGCGGTTCGTTGCCATAATGATTTTCACCTGGGGAAGGGGTAGTAATAAACGTTGAAAAAAAATTGCTGCATAAAAAGAAGTATTTCCAGCCAATTAAAAAAGGAATGTGTTCAGGTAAAATTGTGGAAAGGGAAAAAAAAGCATCAATAAATAAAGTTAATCTCACCTGCCCCAGAGCATCAAAACCATCCATTTGATTTAAAAGCTACAATGGAAGAAGACAAATTGAATTAAAAATTAATTCATTGTCATCAGCTTATCCCCGAACTCATGGATTCTATGACTATAATATTTAGGTAAATCATGCAAAGTTTTGGTGTAGGAGTTACAAACCTCCATGAGTGTCCTTTGTATTTCTCTGTCAGCAGATGTGCCCTCAGAGAAACGCCGTCCACCTATGAGAGCATATTCTTTTTAAATCAGAAGGTCAGGTGGAAAATTAAAAATCATTGAACCACAAACTAAACTTCTTTGTAGTGGCACTCTGTAGGGTAAGATTTAACCTTCCTTTTGACAGTTATTTAAAAAAAAACCTGTTAAACAGATTACATACCTATGGCATCAATTTCATCCATAAAAATAATACAAGGTTCGTGATCCCTGGCATAACCTGTAAATCAAGACAGTCTGGTGAAAACTCATAGCCTTGAGGATGCTGAGTAGTGGCTGTATTGCTTACACTGACAACAAAAAATGTCACTGTAAAATAACACAGTAGGAAGACTGTGCTCAGATACAGAACTGCTATAGAAAATAAATATATTGAACAGGTATAAAGGTTGAAGCAGAAATTTCTTTGCTACTTAAAACTATGACCCAAGGTTAAGAGCTTCCTTGCTTTGAGTTTGGACCATGTGCCTAGAGTTGTTATGATCATCATACATGAACTTAGAAATTCTCTGTCATAAACGATATTGTAAGACAGCAACTACGAGTTAGAGGAGCCTTCTTTAGCTAAGTACCCAGTGATAAAGCTGATGGTCCACTGAAAGGAAAATAAACAAACTTTCAGAGATGGTCATGCATTTTATCATAATTTTCACCAAAAAAGTGATTACTGAACTCCTCAATTATTAAGAAGAACAGCATTTAATTTCCCATCACAAGATCAACGTACAAGTAAAGGTCTCAAAAACAAAGGAACTGATCACAAAGGAGAAAATTCCCTTATCTTCACCAAATTTTCACAAAAGTAATAATAAGAGCTGCAACGAAAATCAATATGCTGGCTATCATGATAAATGCACAAAACATACAAACATACCAAACATCTCTCTAATGAGCCTTGCACTTTCTCCAATATATTTGTCAACAATTGCACTGGACACAACCTTAAAACACAAAATGAAGAAATGGTTTGAAAAAAATAAGACATCATTCAAAGAAGTCACTACACAACAACCTCTCTTAGATCATTCACAGAATACAAGCTAAAGACATATAAACATTTCCTGACACTTTATTTTACTTAACATTGATACTAATGTTAGATGCCTTCTGTTGTACCTTTCTCCTCGCAACAAGTCTTGTTTAATTAAAAACCTATTGAATAGTTACCTTGAGAAAGTTTGCGTCCAACTGGCTGGCCACAGCTCTTGCAAGGAGTGTTTTTCCAGTTCCTATAAAATAATTAAGAAGAGCAATCATATGTCAATTATACATTAAGGTCATGAAGATCAAGCAGCAAACATAATCTAAATATTGAGTATGGGGCTTTAAGGAAAAATGAAGAGAAAATCAGATATTTGTAAAGCAGGTGACAGGAGCTGCTTGTTGGCAGAATATTGCTAGAAAATGAAAGAAAATGACATGATTTACCCTCCTGAAGCAATATTCTCCCAATCAGGAAAAATGTGTACAGCCATGAAGGTAGTAACATAATTTATCATTAAAGGGGGTAAGTTCCTACAGAAATTGGGATGCTACATAAGTTGGAGAGTATAACAAGGTAATTTAGTGTTATCAACTGAGTTGATAACATAAATTGGCCACCACGAAGAGATTCAAACTTGATGTTTCAAGTGTTAGCCCTTCCTCAGCTCTGAAGAAGGGCTAACCCTTGAAATGTCAGCTTTGAAACTCTTTATGGTGGCCAATCTCAGTTATCAGCTCAGTTGATAGTACCAAATTATCTGATTTAAGATTAGATCTTTAAAATTAATACTCCTATAAAACTTATTTTGTTGGAAAATAAACTATTTTACCTGGAGGACCAAACAGAAGGCATCCTTTAGGTGGACTGATTCCAACTCGCTGAAACAATTCCGGGTTTGTCAGGGGAAGTTCTATAACCTGTGGTAATATTGTACAGATAAGAATAATGCAAAAGTGAAATTCCTACTTCAACTGAAATTAATGTAAATTAAACAACAGATTTAACAAAGAGACTTTTGCACACAGTGAACAACACAGACCTCTCTCAGTTCCCTGATCTGTTCACTTAGTCCTCCAACCTCTGAGTAAGAAATGTTTCCAGGATCTTCGTGGGACATGTTGTAAACAAGAGGATCAACTTCTCGTGGAAGATACCTAAAAAATTGCAATCATTTATGACGGGTTACTGACTTGACTCACTGTAGGGTTTCTGGCATCACCTGAGTACTCATTAAATTCATGACTAACTATATTACTAATAATCATGATAACAACAACACCAAATCTTTCGCTGAGCACCCCTCTAAATGTGTAAAATTTTGGATGGTAAAACTGCCATATCAGGCAGTCGGTGCCTTAGATCTAGATGAGACAAGGAAAAATGAACTCTACCTCATGATTGTAAGAGTTGTCATGTCCAGAGCAACTCTTGTACCTTGCTTAAGCTTCTTTTTATCCACCTATCAAGAAAATAGACCACAGTTTTCCCTCAAAGTCTGACAAAAAGGTTCTGTTGATATTTCAGGAAAACAAAACTATCAGCATCCTCCACAGTACTAACCTGTCTCCGACAACCCACAACATAACGTGGACCATTAGTTGCCTTCACAATAACTAACAAGCCAAGACATAAAGAAAAAAGGTCAAATTTTTGTTTTTCTATTCAAGAGTAATGTACAAGAACCTGGGAGTATTGACTGTGAATTGTGATCTTCTTTGTAAGGATGGTCCAAATAAATACTTAACTGAGTTCATCAGCAGAATCACTTCACTATTCTCACTTTCACCAAATAAGTTGTTGAAATGTCACTACCTTCACAACATTCCTTTCAAATCCGCTCTCACTTTAACAATCAAACAAGTTCCATACTTTCTGTCACGCTTGAGTAAAATGAAGGTTATAAGTTGTAACTGTTGTGGTTCAGTTTTATCCATGGTTCAATTTTTTCTTCCTCTGTAACCACAACAGTTCACATAAAGGCATAAAGAGCATAAAGAACTGCAGTACTGATGGCAGAGTAGGAAACTATAAGTAAATCTTGTGAATTGAACGGAATTATTAATAAAACGAACATAAACAATTTCAGCTGATTATAATCTTACATTTTTCTTCAGTAAGCTGCCTTAGAACTTCCCCAACAATCTGTTTAAGAGGAAGGTTAGAAAATATCGTATAGTTAATTCAGTCTGTAATAACAAAAGACAAACACTGAAGAGCAGGATCACAACCATACCTGTCCAACACTTTGCAGAGCCTTTAAATCATTTTCAGATTTGTCATACTCCTTGCTTAAGTCTTTCAGTTGTTCTCTCACTAAGACGAAAAGAAAATTACGGTTAGTTATGTTGCAAAAGAATTCAAAACCGTGCAAAGGCCAGTTAATTTCATGATCAGTATCCGGTTCAAGTTCTTTCTCTACAATATAACTATCACAAAAGAGAGAATCCTGAATACTTCTACTCTAGAAAAATTTTAGCGCAGATATTCCCTTTTGCATCTATTTGTCACTTTGGCTGATTCACTGGAGCACGGTCAAATGCACCAAAAATACAATCACATCGTAACTTTTAATTAGGACATTGAACAAAGTTTGAATTGGACAAGGGAGACTTTGCTTTATCCTAAAACTTCTTTTAAGATAAATGTTTCCAGAAGAATTAGTATTTTAAATTTAGGCATACATACTCTCTTTTAGTCGGGCATCAAGTTCTCTGTGTTCTAACAGTTTTTTCCTGTAGTTGACCAACGCTTTCTCCCTCGCTGTTTCGGTGGTCGCCATCTTTGTTCGTGACTTAGCAGTATCCCACGAGTCAAAGCGGCTAAAATTTGTGGCGGGAAACCGCTGACCCTCCTTAAAACGGCGGAAACAAATTTACAAGAAACAAAACATTTTATTTCCACGACTATGAATTTAAATGAGATGTTTAGGGGCGTGAGGCTACATTACCGGTGCGCAATTACTGTTGAGGTAACAGATCGACTTGCACAGCGTGGGTGATACTGAAAATGGCACCTATTTCGACCAGTGGCAATGACGAGGGATTCTGGGGCGAAGCAACCTCCACGATCGATTGGTGCGAGGAAAACTATGCTGTAACATCATACCTGGCGGAGTTCTGTAAGTGGAATTTTGTATTCATACCACGCAGCTGTTGATCTTGGGTTGTAGCCGCTTATTAGCGATTAAAATGGCTTGCACCACATTGTTTCAAAATAAAAATACCCTCCACGCATTGTGTTGCTTTTTTAGTTGGACATGATCTGCCAACGTTGGTCATATTTTACAAGTGTTCGATCGCACGGTGTTTATGCACTCAAAATAGTTTCATTACGATCAGAGGGATTTTTTGTTGTTTAGAAAACGCCAAAATCTTTGCACGCTACCTAATTTGTTTTTTAGAAACTGTACTTCATTATTAAACAACCCTGAAATTTCTCCTGACAGTTTAAGCTTAAAAGGCGATCATGTATTTATAGAATAACCATAGTCAGAGGTGTTAAGATGTGAATTTGAATGTCACAGATATAGACAAACATAAGTACTAATTTCATTTAACTCTTACTTAAAAACTCTCGCAGCTATGTAACAAAACAAAATTTTTATTTCTTCCAGATTGAAAATCATTTTTCTTTCATTCTCTGTTCTAGCAAACCTGACGTGGCTCTAGTAAGGGTTGAAATTATTCAAATTTCCTCCAACAATAGCTACCTCCGTTATATTGATTTTGTAATTGATATGACCCTTAGGACAATCAATACCAGTTAAGGAAAATGAAAAAAAAAACAAAAAAAGAAAACAACCCTTTAGGCTTGGTTTTCACCGTTAATGGATGGTTTATACTCTTTTCTCTTGTCAGTAAAGTTGTGTTACGTATTTATTCAACTTTTTGTTCTTTTTTTTTCTTTTTATCCAGGGAACACCATAAGCAACTGGGTTTTTTTAATTCCACCCTTTTTTGGAGCAGTTTTAACATGGGAGTATAACATAGAGAGAAGATACACTTTGGCCTTTGTATCATTGCTAGGTAATCTTTGAGGGATTAAGCAAAAAATTATCTTAATGAACTCTATCCTGTTTTCAAAGAGTAGGTTCAAGATGAGGATTTTACTTTTTTTTTATTTTTAATGTGGAAATATGATCATAACTGTATCTATTCCATTAATTCCCCTGATATTTGAAATGTGATTTTGAAGACTTCTTTGGTAACACTGAAAATGTGACCCTGAACAGAAGGCAAAACATAAAGAAACACACTTCTTAGAGACTTGAGGAGATAAACAAAGCTTACTTTTTATTGTTTAATGTCCAGCATTTTGGCTTCATTTGCATACATCTGAAGTAGGTCTATTGAAAGGCTGGGAGCTTGTAATTTAAAATTCAGAATTTCAGCTGGCTTCAAGATAATGAATTTGCATGTAAATTTTGTTAAGATTTTTAAAGAGATAAAAAACAAACAACAAATTTGGACTTGTCCTTAAAGATTCCTGAGAGGTTTGTTATTATTGATGGGTTGTAATTGGATGTTGAACCAGCTGTGATCCATAATGGGAAAATATTCTAACTAATAATTAACTTAGAATGCATCTCTCCAGGCAAAATCTGTTCAAAAGGGTAAGGGCATAACCACCCTTGAGTCAAATTTTGCATTGTTTGTTTTATGCATGATTTTTCTTATGGTAAGTTTTTATAAAATGTTACCCAAGTTTTTTCTTTACTTAAACTTACTTCATTTTTGAAGATCATATGCCAAGTTATATGACTCAATTTTCCTTCAGCTAGCTAACTCTTCAAGAGTTATTTAAATTGTTAAATGACAAACAAAGGAAACTTGAACTTTTTCGTGCCTATAAATTTGTCTGATGTATGTCATAAGTAATTTCTCAAAACTGATGTGATAAACTACAAAGACACCATAATGCAGAGCATTTTAATTGAAATATGTTTACCCATCTCATTTGAAATAAGAAAGTGAGAAAATTTTGGCTACCAGTCCTTAATATCTCTTAATATTTGATATTGTTACTGTTTATTTAAATTTCATATGACTAATGGGTTACCTGCATACCATCCACTAAAAGATGTTTCTCTCAGTGAATTACATGTTCTTGTTGCTATGCCAGCTGACTTTTTGTGAGAATTTGTCATCATAATCATTGATATACAAATGTTTATTTTAGTTATAGGAATAGGATCATCATGTTTTCATGCGACTCTGTTGTATGAAATGCAGGTAAGGTTCTGCTGATTAATGAACATTTTACCTGTTAATTAAACTAGTTGTCATTTATCTTTTCAGTTATTACTGCTCCCTTTCCATTTTATCACATTTTTTTTCATCAAGAGCTTTCTCTGAATATATGTTCTGTTTTCTATTTCTAGAAAATAGAAAACAGGCTCCAATGAGTTGTAAAACACCAAGTTGGCTTAAAACACAGGCTGTTACCCAATGAGCACGGGAAAAATAACTTTTCTTAATTTATTATTCAATTGAAAATTATGGCTACAATAATTTTAAACATAATACTTTAATTAACCACAACAGGAGGATGATTCTTATTTATGAGAAAATCTTAGTGATAATCATGAGATAATTGCTGATATACATGCAGCTAAGCCAATAAAACCTCTCCTATTGTTTTAATGATTGTATATCCAGTGATCTGTATATTATTATCTTGATAGCTACTTGATGAGCTTCCAATGATTTATGGAACTTGTGTGTTGATATTCTGCATGTAAGTAAATTAAAAAATATATTTTATTCATAAATAATGTTTTTTTTTTATGCTGGTACTTTTGTTTGAATTATGTGCTTCTCTTGAAATTATTCCATATCTAGAGGAGTCTTGTTCTATTGACCAGAATCCTCACTGAAATATTTTTAACAAATTTTTTGCTAAGGGAAATGAAAAGTTGAACTGAAATTAGATTAAGTTCTCTTGACCTTTGCATTAATTTAAATTATACAACTTTGACTTCTGACATAAAGAAATAACAAATATGTCATTCCTTTTTTTTGGTAAAAAAGGAAGAAATGTTGAGAAGTCTTTGAAGACTTTACCTTTGCAATAATTTTCAATAATTTTTAATTTTTACTCAGTTGTCATTGTTCTCATCGTCCACGGGATCACAACCAAACTCTTACATTATGCCTTATTGTCTGTTGTGCCATGATCACTTTGGTAAGATGTTATCATTATAAGATTTATGAGGTACTAACTGAAAGTTATAACAACTTTCTTTTTGTTAGAAATGCAAGAGGATGAAAAAATAGTGATAATGATGTGTTTTTCCAGAAAATTTTCTTTACCTGCTTGTGGCTTTTTTGTTATATTGAGCCCTTCCTTACCTCTCCCCCCTCCAATCTGCTGCTATTGAAATTTCTAATTTTGTATGTTTAGCCCCTTTAGTAAGTTTGCAAACCCTTCCTCCTCTCTCTGAAATTTCCAACCACCCCTTTTGGTTAGCTATAGAGTATATAGTCTGAAGATGCAAATTGATATGATTATTACCATACTAAGCCAACTAAAAACTGAAAAAGTGATGTATTTTCAAAAGCAGTTAAAACAATTGGCTTTGTATTACAGACTCTCATGTATTGCTGGTAATATGTTAAGTGTAAGCAAGATGCAAACACAAATCTGGTGCACTGTGCAAAATAATTTATTTCAGTCATGATTTTTATATTCTGAAGAGACTACAGGGAGAATTGAACCCTAAATTATTTTACTTTTGTCTCCAGGTATATTTGACTGTTATAAACCCACTAATATTTCAGGTATGTGTTCAATGAAATTGAGCTCTGCAACAATACATTTGCAGATAGATAGGAAAATCTCATAGCATTCACATGTGTCTACAAACTCATGTACAGGTGATTTTACTAACCCTTAACTCCCAAAATTGATTATCATGAAACTTCTTCCTATGATATCCATAAATTACTCAAAAACAGGAAATGAGAATATTCTAACTTATCAGGTAGAAGCACCAAGTTTTTATAACTAATTTACAAGGAAATGTGTAGCAGCTTAACGGGAGGATTAACAATCAGATCTTGGGATTTAAATGGTTAATTGATAATCAAGCACATGCATTTTAAAATGCTTGTGTGCTTTTCATTTGCTTTCTAGTGGGCATATGGTATTCTGGTAGCTACGCTTGTTATCAAAACTGGTATGGCTTGTAGGTAAGTAGTTATATAATAATATGTTTATATAATTTTATTTTGTGGTCCACATTATCAACCCTTCACACCCCATCATCAGCAGACATATTCTCCATACTGTTCTCTTTACATTTCTTATGGATCTTCAATGAGAATCTGTTTAACAATCAAGAGCTTTGTTAATTGGTGATCATTTCCTCTAATCTCTTGACCTTAATGGTTGATTCAGGGGTGATATTGTGAGAAGAATTTAGATGCTAGTCACTCTTTGGTGATCAAGGGTTAAGACTGTTTTTTGTTTTTGCTTGATTAAATGGTTATTAAATTAAGAGGTGGTGAGTAAATAAGGGCTGGAAACTGTCTGAGAATGAGGATAAAGTTAGAAAATGCAAGGGCAGGGTTAGTAATGAAGTATGTAACATTACATTCAGGATAGGCAGTAGCTGTGAACAACTGCTTCCAAGCCATATAGCGCTTGCATAGGCTTTGGGTCATTTCTTTGGTGTAGTTTCATCTTTTTTGGGACCAAACATGTCCAACAAGGCTAGAACATGCCTGATCTCACTTCTCGTGTCCAATGCATAGATTACCTATTAAGAGGAGTAAGAATGTGGCAAGAACATTTGGGCTTGTGCTATATAATACTCTCTTTGAAAAATTTACTCATATTCATACATGTATAACTTTGTTTTGCTCAGCTCCCTTACATGTTGAGTAATGCTATTTTTTATTTCATGTAACAGAAAACACAAAGGTTCAAAGAAACTTTTGTTCATATCGCTTGCAAGGTAAACACTTAAATTGTGAAGTTCTAAACAGTTATTATGAACATATCAATGATGATGGTGATGATGATGATGAGAAGTGTTGACAGATGGCATAACAATACATTGTTGTTAACTTTACTTCTAGCTATGCTATTGGATTTATGCTTTGGAACATTGACAATAACTTCTGTCCATCTGTAAGGTAAGAACCCACTGTTGGTTACCACCTTAATATTTTCCTCTCCTCAGTCTAACAAATTATTCATCTGAAAACCAAAAATTACATACTTTGAATTTATTGAGTAACTATTCTCGCACTAATTTACAGTTATTAGGTAAGAAAAAATTTGAATACACACTTCACTTGAAATTTATCTTTCAATCCCAACTAAGAGCAAGAGCCATTGCCACTTTATGCATCAGGCATAATAAACTACAGCAGCAGCAGTTATGGGAGTTGAAGTTTTGCTTGTATACTTTTTTGGCTCTTTTTAGACTCTGGCTTTTGACACTTCCCTAAATACTGTGTTGTTGTGAAGTTAGGTTCAGTGTGATTGTGGTAGATTTCTACTTAGAAGCAATACCTTGAAAATGTATGAAATTTATTATTTTTTAATTTTTTCAGAGAAATAAGAAATTTAGTGTTTGCACCTATTAGACCTTTCACACAGCTGCATGCAATATGGCACACTTTGGCTGCCATAGGATCATATTATCATGTTCTTTTCAGGTTGGTATCAGTGTTTGTTGAAAATTGGATGATTAGAAAAGTTAATTGGGTTGGGGGGGTAACTAGTGAAAACTAGTGAAGTACAAGAAGTCATGCTCAGGAAAATGCAAGAAGAGCTTCATACAAAGAATTCTTAGAGGGCTTTGGCCTTCTCATCCTTTTTCCTGATAGGTAAAAAAACAATATGTAGGCCCATTCCTGCTTAGAAAAAATGAGCAAGAAGTTTGATGTCATATTTACAATTTTCTCCTCCCCTAAAAGAACTTTTCATACACTCTATTCCTTGTTGACTTTGATAGAAAGAGTCCATGGATATGTGTACCTTTTCATTGGGTCGTCTACAGTGGCCCTATTAAAAGGGATGGGAACTTCCAGGGGCTGCACAGAAAAATTCACCCTGCTTTTTACCTATGTTATTATCTTTGGGCAAGACGCAATCTGATTGACATTTTAATACATGTTAGTTAGCTACTAATAGCTAGTTTTACAGTTGGCTTATAATTTTTTCTGTTGATTTCATTTTCAGCATAGATCTCAGGTTACGGTGTCTTGGAAGAGTAACACATCTCAAGGTTGGTTCTCAATATCATATTGATATAATTTTCTGACATAAATTAGGCTTTTCTCTGATGAATATGTGAAACAATGTCTTTTCAGATCTTTCATGGATGGCTTCCATTTGTTTATGTGTCGCGGGAATCCTTTGAAAAAGATGTTCTTCCAACAGTGACCCATAATGCTGCAATTTTTCTTTTGTTATTTGGTCTGATTGTGAAGGTGTTGAAGTAACTTAACAATATAAATTGAAGGGAGCATGGAAAAAAGCCTCAAGGGAGTGCTGATTGTCTGCTAGATTCTCCTTCCAAATTGTCTGGTTTTTCTAGATGAACTGTTAGGAGAATCTGAAGTTGCTATAAGAGTTACTTATAGGGCCTTTTTCCTCACACCCATTCAAATCTTGTAAACTTTCAGTGATAGTATATACTTGCTTGGGTAACATATTGAATAAGTTATTAAGTTAAGTACATTCCCTCTAAATCCCCCCCCCCCCCTTTTTAATAACATCTATAATGAAATACACAGAAATTCAAGGGTTTGCTTATGTCTGATTAATAATAATTAATGATTAATTTAAAATAAATGTGGTGAGGCAAATCAAAAATTTAAAATTGATATCATTGGTAGGGGATATATTATCCCTCAATTATATATTAAGGATTATATATTAAGGAGCAGTTAAGAGCTAATATTTTTGGTCTCCAAATTTTCCTTCTTCCTTCAGTGATCTCAACAAGTAAGAATTCGAATATGTAAAATTGATCTTTTGATGGCAATTATCAAAAATAGGCAAACAAAATATATGTACTAATCAAAACACTTAGTTTGGTTGACTTTTCTTGGTGCCAAGTCTCCAGTGAAACATTTTCAAAATTCACAAGCTTGATTCTTCATTGGCACCTACTTTAATTTCTTAATTAGTTTTCCATCTTTTAGCCAAACCAATAGGCTTCCAGTAAGTAGTTAATTGCTTATAATATATTAAAGTAACCTTGTATTTGTGATAAATTGTCTTTAGTAACATGTAAAATGTCTCAAGTTTGTGGCACATAATGTGGTATATAATGTAATGTATGTTTCAAGTTGAAATTAGACAATCATTTTATTAAAGGGAGGATTAAGGGTGAGATATTTTACTAAAGGGCTAATTTTTGATAAATTGCAGAGTTTGTATAGAGGGTGAAAATTTTTGCATCAAATTTAGGGATAATTTTTGACAAGTTTTCATAATTATGGGTAATCAAGCATTGATTATAAATGAGAATATTTCAATCAAATAGTGGACAGTCAAATACAATTCTCTTGTGCTATTTTCCAATGCCAGTAATACAGTAGAAACAAGCCTTTAAAGAATAAAACAAGAATGTAATTCTATTATAGAACTTATTACACTAAAAGTTTGAAGTGACCCCAAAAGTGTGTTTAAGAAAGATTTGTTGATAGGTTGGTAAGTTTATTTCCAGCAAGTAAAAAGCATCATGCAGTTAACCACAAGTATATGTTATTTTTATTGTCTTTTCTCTTCAAAAAACTAAATTTTCTGTTAATGTTTTGCTTTGTTTAAATATTTTAAATATTTATTGTCTCCCTTGCAACATGAAGTAGGACACTTTAACAGTTATGTTGTAAGTATTTTATCATTGAGGCTGTAATAAAGTATGGTGCAATTGTATCATTATTTATTGTACACAAGAGTGGCTGCCATTGTTCTAGAAAAGTATTAAAGAATTGCGAAAAACTGTTTCAAGAAGTGTCTTATGACTTTTTTAGCAGTACCAAAAAGTCAGAGCCAAAGATGAAAAGTTTTAGAAATATCACAGTTTCTGAAAACACATTCAGTTTTCTTATCCCTTTATTAACTAAACATTAAGTAACAAGAAGGAGCTTTGAACATTTCCTAGTGAATTATTTTCACTATAAGTGTTAGTGGATACAGATAATGTTTTTGTTAAGGAAGACGAGGTTAATATTCCTCCCATAAGGTGAGTACCATTTGCAGGTTGGCAAGGCCCCATTCAAACCACCTTGTAGGTGAATTCTGCCAGCCTGGTTAAACATTACTAACTAGGGAATCAAATAAACAAGTTCTTGGAGTAACTCACAACTGTGATCCACTTATGCTAGTTTATCTGGAGGTACTGAAATCAACGGATCTATGATATACACTGATCACTCTTCCTCTCTATCTATAAGTTGTAAAAGTTTTTCCTCTCTTTCTTTGCAGTCAACATCATCATTCCAAAAATTCTTGAATATATCTTTATAGAATTTGGGTTTAAGGCATTCGTTGTGAAGAGCTTCACAGATATCACAGGCTGCATACCTAAACCTCAATTTCTGTTCATAGGCGAATTCTTTTTTCCACGTGAAGTATTCATTATAAGCAGTGTCATTTTTGTCGAGGTATAACAGGTATTCCGCCAAAGCCTTAACAGATGGAAAGTCTTGCACACTTATAAACGAGCCTGGAGGGACTACATCTGGTGTATAGAAATCTCTTGTCAGTGTTATAGGCACTGAATTCCAACCAAGTGTACGCCAAAATTTCTCGGTGATGTAGTCAGTACACACGCTGTTTTCAAATGCCAGATAAAACTTATATGAGCTGAAAAGGTCATCGCAATTTTTTGATCGCGGGCATCGATTGTCTTGACCAAAGTTTCCCGAACAGTGGCCATAAACATCAACTTTGATGTATTTCAGAAGTTTTTTTACATACTTATCTCGCGTTCTTCCACATCGTGATACAGCCCATGACACAAACTTTGTTTTCCCAGCTGCATAGTCAGGAATTTCCGCTGGTCTCCCAGCTGACTGCAAAGGAACATAATGTGCATAAGGAAAATGAAAATCTGACTCCCTTTTGAAAGTTATGGTCCAATTAAAAAACCCCTCCGGCAAGGAAAGAAGAAGCTCTAAATCTGGGTCATTGACAATAGATTCTTGGTTTAAAAACGCCATTCTTTGCTGTGGGCACCGGTACTTGTGAATCTGTAGAATTTCTTTCGATTTAACATGGACTGGCATATCACCAGCATGAAAGATAATCAGATCACTTTTTCCTATATCGTATACATCATAGGTTATGTGGCATTTTTTTGTCGGACATTCCGAAAGATACTCTTCCGTGGAGTCGATTCTGGGCCATGGCTTGCCATTGAACCAAGGAGTGTATAATAGAATGGTCTTGATGTCATTACTGAAGCAAGTTCGGTTGGAAGTGACTTTTGTCGCGTTGCTACAAAGCCAAGGCTCGAATCGCGGATAGCTTGTTTCGTTCCTCAGAGTTCGGATCGAGTAGAATAATGAAAGAAGAAACATGCCCAGCAATATGGTGGAACTTATCCAGAAGATAAGTTTTGATACTTTTCTTTTGATTCTTTTGAGGTACATTAGAGGAATTATTCACTCGGGCTTTCCAAAGGAAACGCTCAAGTTGAAATTCCGTGCCCATTTGTTTTCCTCGTTCAGTCACAAATTGTCACAGCGCCTAGCACATGGTAAACAGAAGTTGTTGTAGTATACACTCGATTGCAAATAACGTTGACACCTTGAAAGCATAAACCGTGAACGATTAGACCCGACGGATTTGTGGGTAGTGTTTAAACAATAACCTTATTTCCATCATGATAATCAATAATTTACTGTTCTTATTCTTTGCAATAAAAAATACATTGCTGGAAAAAAAAGTATGCCCAAAGCATACTCGGACGATTTACGTTTAAGAGCTGTATGGCTTCATGTGTTCCTTGGTTATAACATCGAGGATACATCCGGTATGCTGGCAATGTCACCAAGCTCGGTAAAGAGATTCAAAAAAAAAATTTGTGCGCACGGGTGAAGTTGTGGCCGAGAAAACTGGAAGACCTTTGGATCTGGTTGGAATGCACCCGCGTGAGGAGCTCGTGATGATGGAAGCTATGCTAGAGCACCCAGAGAAGACACTGACTGAGATTGTAAGAGAAATTATGACTGTATTCGGAAACCGTTTTCAAGTGTCGACGGTTTGCCGATACTTTCAAAGAAACGGCGTTACAAGAAAACGGGTGAGCAGTTATCGGCAGGATTATTATAGACCTTTTAACGTGGGGATATTTGTTGACTCAGAAGAATAAATAGCTTTGTTTTTGCACAACAAGCCTCGGCCAGACGCGAATTTAGAGAGAGGTTTGCTTTGCAAAAACAAAGCTTTTTATTCCCATGAGACTCGACATGGCCACCAAGTGACAAAGGCCAATTAACTATGATAGGATTGACAGGGAAAAAGTGCCTCTGCTCGTGCTTTTTTCATATTTCTTCACGCGCCAGTCTTTGCCAATCAACAACGTCAAAATGATCAAATTTACGTTTTTTTGGAGAACACGAAGACATGACAGGCCTAGTTCAAACGTCGATCTTTACATGTACCGAACCTAACGTTTCTATTAAGTACATGTAAAGATCGACGTTTGAATCAATTAGGATGGGCAGATTTGTATAGACGTTTAAATCAACTGCCGCTCTTAATTATTCGAGTCGACCCAAATTGCAATTAGGTTCGGTACATGTAAAGATCGACGTTTGAACTAGGCCACAGTTTCCTACCTATGAACTTTAAACTTGAGTGAAACCTCAGTAACAAGAAACAAATTATGCGTAATGGAAAAATATTAAAATAAAAAGTAATTTAAAAGAAGGAGGGTTGTTTTTTTTAAGTGGCGCTTTTGTCTCTGTTGTTGCCGTGGTGGTAACTGAACTGCCCATTATTCCAATCAATTTTGTCACCATATTGTCCGAAAATGAAGTCTGATCAGTGAGGGCACATTTTATCCTCCACCTTCAACTGAACACCAAGTTTAAGCTAAAGTCCCCCCAAACTAACACTAGTGTAACTATTTTTTCCAGCTTAAGAAAGTTGTTCGACAACAAAGCGAATTGGCGAACATCAATTTTCGTGCGGATACTTGTCTCCTACATGCAGAGATGTTTGTCTTTCTTGATGAAAGTGGATTTGTAAGTATAACTCAAGGAAACCTTATTTTCACTTGTCTTTACACCCCTTTGTTTTTGAAGATTAGAGGTATGTTTTATTCTTTTTAAGGATCGTCGACTTACAAGGGGATTTGGCTACAGTTTCCGAGGTTATAGTGCCAAAGTGAAAAGGAAGCATACAAATTGGCATCCACGAATTACAGCCATCCCAATTGTATGCACTGAAGGCTTGCTTGAAATTGGTATTCATAGAGGAGCAACAAATGGAGATGTCTTTCTTCAGTTTGTTAATGAGAAGCTTGTCCCGAACCTTCTGCCTTTTAACGGTGCGAATCCTCGCTCCGTAGTTATAATGGGTATGACATAAATCGTTTAAAGATTTTTTAGACCATATTATAGATTTAAGACAATTTTTAATTTGTCATTGTTGTTCTCAGATAATGCAGCCATACATCATTCACAACGTGTTGTTGATGCAATAAACGCTTCCGGTGCACTCCTTATTTTTCTTCCACCTTACAGTCCGAATCTGATGCCTTGTGAAGGAGTGATCGCACTGGCAAAGAGCTGGATACGAGAAAACGACCTGGTTTGGGAGCAGTGTGATGAACCAGAGAACATGGTTTTTGAAGCCTTTATGCAAATAGCTGATGAAGACATTACAAACTACATTCGTCATTCTGAATACCTTTAATTACATGTACATCTATGAAAGGTGGTTTTACAAGAAATAACAGAAGAGTACGGCACAACACGCTGCCCATCATTATCACATTAATTTTTTTTAAATTTTATTTTCTACGCGGCTTCACAAGTTTCCTGTATTCGCGTTTCCCTTTATTCGAAATAATCAATCAGAATAATTTAGTCGATTTTATTTAGCTCATTAACTAATTTTGCGCGTTCTTTGTCGAATTGATCTCTTGTAATGATTTCTTTATCAAACAGATCCTTCAGTTGTGCAATCTGGTTATAGATCATACTTCGTAAACGTAGCTGTGGAAAATGAAGAAAAATAAATTACATCAGTAAGGAGTGCAATTTTCTCTTGTTAAGTAGAGGTGACGAGTGTGCTTTCAAAATTTATGGATCTCGAGCGCAAGATTTAAAAGAAAACACGCCGGTTTCAGAGTTTTGTTGTTGCAATTAATGGCAGCAATTGCAACGACAAAAAATCACTCTCCAGGATTGACTCGCGCTCTTAGTTCGCAAGGTGGAGTATCAAGTGAGAGAGTTACCTTTTCTTCAGCACCCGAAATTGAGTTTAATGTTGTTTCTTTCGTTGAAGACTGAGCTGAAGAAGATGAAGGTAGGTCAACCGTTGAACAGCTGGCTTTATTCCTCCCGGTAAAGAAGGAAACCTGAGGCATTTCATCCTCGCTGTGATGAGTTTTATTTACCTGTAATAATAATAAAAAAAAAAACAGTCAAGGCATACAATTGTATTTTGTTACGGGAAAATTTACTGATTTTCCGTATGTGTTATTCGGAACATATTTATTCGTAAACTTTCACATTTAACCATTTCAAGTCCTTTCATTTCAATAAATCAAAAAATGCATAAAAACCACAGTAGCTTTGGAATAGATTTTTGTTGTTACTCGCTTTCATCATATGTACCTGCTTGTCGGCACTTTTGTTATTTATTACATGGTTTTTTTTAGGTAAATATAAGTGTTAATGGTCTTTCTGGAAACATTGGTTTTCATGGTAGATAGCAGCTGAGTTTATACTCGTAAATCTAATTTCTTTTCATGAGATGGTTTCCAAACCAACCTTACATAAATAAGCAGAAACTTTTAATTGCCTTTCCGTTTTTATTTCCTGAGCTGCGCTACTGCAATTAAGATAGGTATTGTTTTCTATACCAGAGCTGTAAATTCGCACCTAGGTTTCCTACTTTAATGGCCTAGAGTTTATTGCATCTGTCTTTTTAATTTTGAGATTCTTTCCGTCGTAGAAACAGATGGAATATTTAAGTAGTTTTCGTTTAACTTCAAAGAGATCTTTTCCGTTCCTTTGTGTCCTTATTCAAATATTACGATTTGTGTAACAATAGCACCTCACACCAGTTAGTTCTTAAGCAAGTACCTCGTACAGCTTTGATGATTACAAACTAGAGTATGCTAGAGGTCATGTCGCTTGTTGGCCTGACCTAGAATAAAAGTACTGTGGAACCAAAGATTGTCTTATCCTTGACGTCCGTACAAGCTTACTAGAAGTAGATCTCCGTGTACCAGGAAATCGTGACGAGTTTCCGTTCTCGCTGCCAAGTCGTCTCTACAGAGTTATTCCCCCCAGTTGTTGTTGTTCCGTCCGCGAAGAGTCAGTTTTCCAGTTTTGGGGCGAAAACGTATCGTCACAATTTTTCGTCCATGAACAATGACGGACAAAGTTTGTAATTTAAAATAACAAATGTACGCACATGCTTTTAAAATATGTAGTTTTTGAAGAGCCAAATTCAAATATTGGATTAATTTTTTCTATTTTACCAAAATAAATTTTTTTTATGTCCAAGCTTACCAACATTTTTGCCCAACATTTCAGTTTAAAGTCCGCTAATGTTCCTCCGTGTTTTTCTCGCAGTCGCGCGAGTCGGTTTTCGTAGGAGTCATGGTCGTCCTCTTCCATACTGTCACCGCCGTCGATAGTGTCGTCTGAATGAAAAAACAAAAAAGGAGGACATTGTTTCCATTAAACATTGAGTAATTTTGTAACAAGCGGGAAAGACAGGCAATACGGTTTTCCATTCATACCTGAATTTCTCTTCCTCTTTGCTTTACCGGCTTCCCTTCTTTCTATCTCGCCCTGTTTTCGTTTGAAGGAACTGTGTGGATCCACCCATAGGGTGATCCATCCATTCTTAACACTTCTGTAGGCGTCGTCCAACTGTTTTTCTGTTTTGATGTCACATTTTCGGCGCCGTAGCCGATAGTTAGCGACGTGCAATTAGAAGCGGGACTTAATTCTTCTGGATAATTTTGAAGTAAATATTGCTTTAGTTCATTGACGGATATGAACTTAGGCAAATATCGGATTGAATATCGCTCAAATTGGCCCTTTTTGGCCAGCTTAGACACTTTTAGGAAAGCTTGAACCGTTTCCATCACTGACCACGTGCAACTAATTTTGGTTATCAACCGTGGCACGAGAATAGAATATTATGCAAATAAATTTAGTACACTTATACCCATAAAGCCATTGGGTCTCATCGTTCACAGTTTATGCTTTCAAGGTGTCAACGTTTTTGCAATCGAGTGTATACGCCATGGTTGAATGCCATATAGACGACAAAATGGCTGACAATATTCATGCTATAAGAGTCATGTAAGACTTACGATATGTCCTGGTCAGCTTTATTTTTCCAGGTTAACCCCTTCTACCTTAAGTTGACCTTCTTGTACCACGTTGACCCACATCTACCCTAAGTTAGCCATGTTCTACCACGTTTACCCACATCTACCCTAAGTTAGCCATGTTATACCACCTTGACCCACTTCTACCCTAAGTTAGCCATGTTCTACCACGTTGACCCACATCTACCCTAAGTTAGCCATGTTCTACTGCGTTAACCCACATCTAGCTAAGTTAGCCATGTTCTACCACGTTGACCCACATCTACCCTAAGTTAGCCATGTTCTACCACGTTGACCCACATCTACCCTAAGTTAGCCATGTTCTACCACGTTAACACACATCTACCATAAGTTAATCATGTTCTACCACGTTAACCCACATCTACCCTAAGTTAGCCATGTTCTACTACGTTAACACACATCTACCCTAAGTTAATCATGTTCTACCACGTTAACACACATCTACCATAAGTTAGCCATGTTCCACCACGTTAACCCACATCTACCATAAATTAGCCATGTTCTACCTCGTTAACCCACATATACCCTAAGTTAACCATGTTCTACCACGTTAACCCACATCTACCCTAAGTTAGACATGTTCTGCCACGTTAACCCACATCTACCATAAGTTAGCCATGTTCTACCTCGTTAACCCACATCTACCCTAAGTTAATTATGTTCTACCACGTTAACCCACATCTACCCTAAGTTAGACATGTTCTACCACGTTAACCCACATCTACCCTAAGTTAGCTATGATCTACCACGTTGACCCACATCTACCCTAAGTTAACCATGTTCTACCACGTTGACCCACATCTACCATAAGTTAACCATGTTCTACCACGTTGACCCACATCTACCCTAAGTTCACCATGTTCTACCACGTTAACTCACATCTACCCTAAGTTAACCATGTTCTACCACGTTGATCCACATCTACCATAAGTTAGCCATGTTCTACCACGTTAACTCACATCCATCCTAAGTTAGCCATGTTCTACCACGTTCACCAATATCTACCCTAAGTTAACCATGTTCTACCACGTTAACCCACATCTACCCTACGTTAGCCATGTTCTACCACTTTAACCCACATCTACTTCAAGTTAGCCATGTTCTACCGTGTTCACCCACATCTACCATAAGTTAACCATGTTCTACCTCGTTAACCCACATCTACCCTAAGTTAGCCATGTTCTATCACGTTAATCTATATCTACCATAAGTAAATTATGTTCTATCACGTTAACCCACATCTACCCTGAGTTAGCCATGTTCTACCACGTTAACCCACATCTACCTTAAGTGACCCAGGTTCTACCACATTGACCACCATCTACTCTAAGTTAGGCATGTTGTACCTCGTTAACCCACATCTACCCTAAGTTAGCCATGTTCTACCACGTTCACCCACATCTTGCACTTTCACCCTCATGACAACTGATTAGGGCTTCAATATTGATAGATTACGATATGATTAATGGCTTCTTATTTTTAAAGGCAAAGAGGGTTTTTGATACCGTAGACCGTAGAAAGTTCTGTTTAAGAAATAGGGTGTTACGGGTTTGACAGCCATCTCTCAAGTGGCTATAAAACAGTCAAGCTATACATTTAACTATCATCAACAAGAGTCTCATTGCATGACATTGAAAAGTAACGTTTGGGGCATTGTCAACAAGATATTCTTAGAACTAGCAAAAACGAAATGCAGTTCATCATTTGATTCGTCATCAGAAATATAGGAATATAGTTTTCTGGTTAGTTTTAATCTGTACTTTATCCATGCAGGTGACGTAAAAAAAAGAAAAAAAAGACTGAGCTGATTGAAGGAAGGATAGTTAGTAAGAAGTGCCCGCCAGAGGACTGGAGAAGAGAAAGAGGGGAAAATGGAGAGAGAGAGGGAAAAACAGCGCGGAAAGAAACGCCGTGAAAAAAACCCTCTTTTATTAGTGCAGTAGGTAACAATTAGGGATGTATATATTCAATTACCAAGGGAATTGTTTATTGTATTCAAAGACAAAGAGTAGAATGCATAATTAATAAGATGTGCATGCATAATGAAGTATGGGGCTGTGCAGAAATTTTTCCCGGGTCGGTTTGCATGCCTTAAGATCAGTTTACAAGCGAATAATTGAGCGAACTTATCGAGAATCATGTTACACTAAATGAGCTTTCAAATCTTAATCTTGATAAAAAGCATCTTCGGAAGCGTCATCGTATTTTAAGTCGTGATCGTGAACCAAGAAGAATCCCAGTACGAACTCTACAACGTCTGAGGAAAAAGGCAGAAAGGTTAGCGAATTTGTTTTCAAAAGTGTATGTTCGAGTACACAAGTCTTCGAAAATGCATTGTTATATTTAAGTAAGGAAACATAAGCTTAAATCCTATGAGACAAAACGTAAAAGTTTAATAAAGTTAAAATCTCAAAGTAGACGGTAGTGTTCACTATTTTCTTGTCATAAAGTTGTGTCTTTACAAGAGTCAAACCCATGTATCAAATTATTGTAAATTTAAGCTGAGCACAGATATAGAAAAGAGCCCTGGCCCTCGCCCAGTGTATGTTGATGCCAGCGAAACAGTAGCAGCACCATATAGCCGAGGTAATGAGTTGGTATTTGAACGAAATGCTAGACAACAATGTGTTGCAACGAGTTTGTGCTACTAGATTTACAACAACAAACAAGGAGTCAGTTTTGCGAATGACCTCAGTCAAATAATGAATATTGGAAATCCGGTGTATTTAAATTTGTCTCAATTAGCCAGACAGTCCTATTTAATGCAGACAGATTTACTTACAATGTTAAATGCGCTTGATACTGACTATAAACTAGAATACAGTGAAAGTTACACTGGTACTGTACATCAGGAGACTGAAATAGACGGATAGCAGTACTGTACCTCTTTACAAAGAGCCTTTGAATCACTATTATCTCAAAACTAAACTGATTTTACATTAACTGTGGGAGTTATTGGTGTTTCTATTTCTTGTCAGTAATGTTGATATGGGTTCAAAATATTTGATTCTCATGCAAGGGATGTATATGGTAGAGGCCCTCCTGAAGGTACATGTGTGCTTCGTGAAACATTATTGCTAGATTAGTATGTTAATTTCAGAGGATACATAACGATGACATATTTGAGGTGAAGGGGGTACACATTAATGAAGTTCAAAATGGCATAGTACTTCCTCTGAACAATGTACATGAGAGCATAAATTTCAATCTAAGTTGTGTTGTGGTCATCTATTTTCTCTGTTACTCTTTAATTAAATCATGTAGTTATTGGAGTTGAAACACTTAAGTTTCTATTGTAGACAATAGCAAAAGACTGTGTGACAATGTATGTTTAAATGGGTGTAATCATCATTTGATCTATCCAAAGCTGTTGTCTGTTTGTGGAGCTGAGTTTTAATGTTTTCAGTGATAACAAGGAAGGACTATTGTGTGATTGACTTGAAAGCAAATCAATCTTGAAAATGCTCTATTAAACAATAGTGAATGCACAGAATTTTTGATGTGGCTTTCCTGCTATCCTATCAGTTGTATCTATAAACCTTAACATAAGTCAAAATAGATGTATTCCCTACTGGTTTTTAATGAAAATCACATACAACCAATTCAGTATACTTAGAACATAAATAGTACAGCTTCACTTGTTGAGGCAATTAGCTGTATTTAAACGAAATACAAGTCTGCAGGTCATTACAAAATACAATTTGTATCATGTTCATGTGCAAATGTTGACAGAAATGAAAGGAAATGAATGATGAAAACTCAAAGACAAAAACATGACTATGAAGCAATGGAACCATCAAAGAAGAGAACATTATTACAAAAGAAAAAAGTAAGGGATTTGACAAATAAACATGAGCTAAAGATGAAAAAATTACAAAAGTGCAAAACAATGGACCCTACTATGAAACAAGTTCTGCTGAATAAAAAAGCAGATCAGCTAAAAACAATGGATACTGCTAAGAAACAAGATCTGCTAAACAAAAAAGCAGAACAACACAAAACAACGGATACCACTAAGAAGCAAAAACTTCTTGAGAAATGAAAAAAGGAATACAGCTACCATAGTAGCAAGACAGTCATTTCGCGTGTTGAACAGTTTTAAAAGAAAACGATGGAAGGTCCATTAAATATATGTTGTGTATGTAATAGAACACTTTATAAAAAAATCTGTCTTAAAATTGAACACAAGAAGCTACCTGCCTCGAGATATTTTTAAAATACAATCATCATATGATTGAAAAGAATATATCTGCCAGACCTGTCACTCAGAAACCATACAATGAAAAATTCCATGTCAGGCAATTATTGTGAACAATTTTAATGTTAATTATGTACCAACTGAGATTGGAAATCTTAAAAAACTGGAACAAATAATAATTGCATGGCACATTGTATTTGATAAAGTAATAGTTATGCCAAAAGGGCAATAAATAAAAATTAAAGGTACTATATGTAATGTATTGGTAAACTGCGAGAAAACATGTCATGAATTGTCTTGTCCTCCTGAACGACCTGGTATAATTCTCCTTTCATAGCTCTATATCAAGTGACACACAGTTGTCACAGTTTTGTCATTACCATTAGGCAACGGACATAATTTATGTTTAAAACATAAAAATCAAGTTTCATTGAAAAAGAGAAGCCCGAGTTCACGCAGATATGCGTCTAGTTCAGTTTGGCCTGTGTAGAGTGGTACAATGCCCTCACCAAACAGATCGTCCCAGTAGGGTACGTACCTCGCACCAATCCGACTACCGTATAAGGGTATGTATCTCGCGCCAATCAGATTGCCGCATTAGGGTATGTATCTCCCTCCTATCATTTCACAGCATTTGGCTATCTTGCACTAATCACAATGTTTGGGAATTGTTTTCTTGCATATTATGTCAAGGAATCAGGGGGCTATGCACAAAAAAATTATATTAACCAGAAATTTTGGGTTCATTTGATAAGAGTAATGGTTTGTGGCCTTTGCGAAATTAAGGCCGAGATTTATCGAGGGTCCAACATAAGTTTGGCGGGATGCGAGACGAGGCTTAAAATCGAGGCGAGATGTGGGATACGAGAAATTTTAAATGCGGGATGAAAGTAGGAAGACGTAACCGGGATATGACCCATTTCGAAGACGGGATGGGGGATATGACGGGTACAGGCGGGATCATAACATAATTTAGCTCAAGTTGCGCGTCATGCGATATTAGTGACATTAAAAAGTATTTTTTTGATTCAGAAACGAGCTTAATTATTGCTTCCGTGAAAATTGGAGTTGATAGACCTTAATGACTCCCTAGTATCTCCAGTCTTCTCTGTGTTTATTATATGTGTTTACACGGCTCCATAGTATGTCTGGTTTTTTTGCCATCGTTTTAATTTTGCTCTCACGAGTATGTCTTTGAGTGAACCCCCTTTCTGTACGATATTATGGGCGGTTCTTTGAAGATTTCTCTCAGCAATGGTTGTTGCCGCATTAAATGTCACCTGCTCATAAAGATTTCGTTACGGTTTTAAACTGTTGGGTAGTATTGTGTTACACAGGGCAAGATCCTATCAGTTATTTTTCCCTGTTGGAGGAAGGCCCGTTTACGTCCTTCAAATTTCACCTCAGAGGGCGGGTTGTCAATAAAAAAATTCGGGTAGCCTCTCTCTGCCAGATATGTTTTGAACTGTGTGATATTCTCTTCAGATTTTTCTATTGAAGCCTTTCTTTGCTCCCGATTGGTGACGAGTTGTGTAGAACGTGTACTAGAATCCCTCTGTTGGTTTAAGGTGGATTCTCATGTCGAGAAGATATTTCAGCCATAAATTTGATTGTTGGGTGGTGTTGAACTAGTTAACAACACCTCTGCTAGTGTGCAAGAGAGATTCTGTCGTCGGTGTAGAGTTTCCAAACGAGCGGTTTGTTAGCGCTTTTATCTAGGATTTGCATTTCATTTAAGCCATAACGATTTTTACAAAAGTTAGTGCTATTTGAATATGAAGTTGATGAAGTCTGCTGCATCTTCGAGATATGACTTCAGCTGTTGTGCGATTGGCTGAAGAATTTCATCTATGTACCAGGAAAGCTTTTCTGTCGGTCCTCCCATGAATGGATTTTCTGTGTCTATAAACACACCGGGGAACAACCGTTTTTAAGCCGGCTAAATACGCCTTAAGCAAGTCTTTGCCGTTCTCATTAATGAGAAGACATTATCAATATTGTAAAGGCTGTAATTTGTTCGGCAGTTTAGAAAGGGCAGTAAACTAGAGCAACTTGGGTTTCACAAGGAGGGATCGGGATGAAAATGTTCGTCGCAGCGGGATGGCGGAATGGTATGAAAAATAGCGGCGGGATGCGGGATCGGAAAACTATATTTCGGATCCTCATTTATCGGGATATGAAAGGTTCGCATTTGACTTTTTGTATCATTTTTAAGCGAAAATGTGTTTTTTTCCGCTCCTTAACTCACAACGCACACGCCGAATAACTTCAATTATCGGTTTAGGTTGAGCACGATATCATGAATTATCAATGCCGAGGTCTGAGTTATCTACTGAAGCCGAAGGCTGAGGTTGGTAACACAGATACGAGGTTTGATAAGTCATGACATAAAAAACCGAATTCAATAATTATATCATTATACACTTTTTAAACAATCTACAAAAGAACACATTTCTGAGGGTCTCAACGACCGATAGCCGTAAAACGGCCAACAAATTTAGCCATTAGGCGTAAAATTTACAAGTTTTAACCAATAGTCGTAAAAAAATTCTGATGATAGAGATGGAATGATAGTAACCGTTAAACGTTAAATAGCCAAAATTTTAACCTTAAGCCGTAAAAGTCATCACCCCTTTAATACCCTAACTTCTCTCTGAATTTGCAAAAGTTTGAGAGCATTAAACGGCAAGGGGCTTGGAAACTTTGAACTCGACATGATTATCAGTCTCGATAAATCAGAGTTTTCATTGTAAGTCTAATGTACAATAAACAATTATTCCACGAGCGCGAGTTGGCTAAACCAATGAAAACTCTTGAATTGCATTGTCCAATGATTCAGTTCTTAATAATAATTATATACATTAGTATTACTTTGAAAACTCTGATCGGTCAAGAACATTCAGTCAATGAAGAGTCCCCCTTAAACCAACTCGCCCTTACTTTTCTATTGCCTTTTAAATAGAGTTCATTTCTGCCTAGGCCTTCTCGTATTCGGTTATTAATCCGCAGTTTACATATATGACTTTGGTAGATTCACAATCATTTAGAAGGTATAATTGTTTGGGAATAGTTAAAAAATGAAGTTTTAATTATAAATAGCCATTTGAAATGAGGAAACGGAAGGGAAATTTTGCAGTTCAATTAAATTAGACTTAAGGGGCGTTTTAATTAAAAGCATGTTTTTTTAATTTAAACCCCATTCACACGGAAGCTTGAAGACGTGTTGTTAAAAACGTTGAAAATTGTTTTCATCATAAAAGCTGCTTAAACCAATGTTTGTCAACTTCAAATTAAGCAAATTGAAAATAAAAGCTAGTGTCTGCTTGAAACTTAAGGAAAATTCAGTTCTTCAGTTCTCTGTTTCTGAATTTCATTTAGTTCAACCCAGTTTTACGAAACACTTTTTGCTGCTGTGAAGAATTGGAGTACTAGTTGTTTTCATCTCCTTCATTATCACTCTTCAAATTCTCGCGCCTTGACTCAGTTCAGAGAGCCCAGAAAAAGACCCCTTCCTAAAGTCAGTTTCTTTTTGTTGTTCATATCAGTGATTCACTTTGTCTTCCAGGAGGAACTGGAAGTAACATTTGAAAATCAATGGATATTCGACATACACTGATCACTCTTCCTCTCTATCTATAAGATGTAAAAGTTTTCTCTCTTTCTCTTTGCAATCAACATTATCGTTCCAAAAAGTCTTGAATATATCTTTATAAAATTTGGGTTGAACACATTCATTATGAAGAGCATCACATATGTCACAGGCTGTATGTGTTAATCCCAACGTCCCTGTATAAACGAATTCTTTTTTCCATGTGAAGTATTCACTATAGGCAGTGTCATTTTTGTCAAGGTATAACAGGTATTCTGCCAAAGCCTTAACAGATGGAAAGTCTTGCACACTTATAAACGAGCCTGGAGGGACTACATCTGGTGTGTAGAAATCTCTTGTCAGTGTTATAGGCACTGAATTCCAACCAAGTGTACGCCAAAATTTCTCAGTAATGTAATCAGTACAAACGCTGTTTTCAAATGCCAGATAAAATTTATATGTGCTGAAAATATCATCGCAATTGCTTGATGGCTGGCATTGATTGTCTTGGCCAAAGTTTTCCGAACAGTCGCCATAAACATCAACTTTAATGTATTTGAGAAGTTTTTTTACGTACTTATCTCGAGTTCTTCCACAATTGGAAACAACCCATAACACAAATTTGTTTTTCTCAGCTGCATAGTCAGGAATTCTCGCTGGTCTTTTAGCTGACGGCAAATGGATATAATGTGCATAAGGATAGTGAAAATCTGACTCCCTTTTAAAAGTTATAGTCCAATTAAAGAACCCCTCCGGCAATGAAAGAAGAAGCTCCAAATC